CTCTCTCTTCTATCATGAGCTCATCATGCATGTGAACACCATAACACCTACGTTCTGCTGGTTAGGGTTTCTTGTTATTTCACAAAAACTAAAAAAAAAATTAATCATAATGCTGGAAATGAATTATAGCTAGAATAATTTAATCAACCATTTGATATTGATGTGCCACTGGCATTTTATTTGTTTTTTTATTGTACACCTGATTCATTTCTACTATTGGCCTTTATATTGCTTGGACCCATTGCTCTAAAAGACTACTTCATCAATATATACTCTGTTTGTTCTAAGTTCTAATTTATATTCGTCAAACTTAATTAAGAGTATATAATTATTTTTAGAAGTTCTTAAACGAAGTATTAAATGACTTACCCGATTGTTAGATTTTTTTAAGGTTGTCAATAATGTGTTACTATATCTTTCAATCCTATAGTGGATTTTACATAAATTTATAAGTTAAAAACCCAATGTTATAGTACTCCCTCCGTCTTAAAAAATATTTTTATTTTTTTTTCTTTAAAAAAAGATTTTTTACATCATTTATTAACCTACTTATCATGTCATATCTATTCATTATTAATTGATCAATCACATCATATTTCAACTCTTAAAAATAAGGGGCAATATGAGAAAGTACTCAACCACAAAATACACTCCCTTTAAATTTGTGAAAATTCAATATACGAAGAATTTTTAAGGACAATGAAAATATAATACTCCATATAATTATATTTCATAAAAAGGACAAAGAATATATAATATACTCCCTCCGTCCATGAAAAATGAGAGATTTTAATTTTTAAGAGATTTAAGGATAGTGTATTTTGGTGTTGACTTTTTCAAAAATGTACTTGGATGTGATGGTTAAATTAAGATCTAATTGGTACGTTAATAGTAAAAAGATTTGATGTGATATATAGGTTAAGACTTAGTAATGGTAAAAATAACCTTTTAATAAAAATGAGAATTTTTTTTTTCAGACGGATGAAAAAAAAGTGAAAAATTTTCAGAAACGGATAAAGTTTATCATAAGTAAATATACTAATTTTTTACAATTTGTGGTCAAAATTTGTAAAATTTGACCAAAAAGTGAAAGTGTAAACAATAAAGTACTCCCTCCGTCCCACAAAAAAGTTCCCATTTTGAATAGTATTTAGCCAAATACTTACAAGCTTTGACTACAAATTGTGAGAAAGGTATATTGAATTATGAAATAAATTTTATATAATTGGATTCATCTTAGGATCTAGTTTTGATGTCTCAAATTTTTTTAGCATTTCTTTATTTAGATTATATTTAATTTAGGGTCAAAGTATGCAACAGTTTGACCAAAATGGGAACTTTTTTGTGGGACGGAGGGAGTATTTCTTCTACTGTCAAAGATATTCAAAGTATATATGTCATTCGTTTGTGAGTATGTAGTCCAACAAGAAATTTATTTTAATTACCAAGAATATAATTTATACTCACGTACAAAGGAGTACGTATAATTTATTTTACCAAGAATATAACGTAGTAATTAATTAATGACAGTGATAAATTAATGAAAAAGGGGGTAAGAAATGGGAGTAAATCCGGCCCAGCGGTGAGCATGCAGAGCCTGGCGTGAGACAGTTGATAATCAAATCACTCACTGATGACATTTTTATGGTTCCAAGCTTTCATGTCCCGTTGTTAAGAAAGTGCAGAAAATAAATTAAGGAAGGTGGGAAAAGAAATCCCCAAATGAATGAAAAGACATTATGGGACAGACAAGAGATGGAGAAGGGGTTTCTTGTAAGGGCATGCAGTCCTTTGGAAGGGGTGGTAGCTAGTGACCCAGTACGTAGTACTATGACAAGTCTCTGTCCCAATATAATTCACACAGCAATCCAGCCACCAGTCCTTTACATTCTGGAAATTTGCATAAACTCTTCCCTCGATCAGAACCCCTCTCCATTGTCCTTCCTATACCCTACACATGCATATACCCTACATATTCCCTCGCCCTACCCTTTCCTTATTTTATTACTTACTAGCTACTCGCTTCTTCATCTATTAGTATATATCTACGGATACGGTGCACAGTTCGTAAAAGTGAAATTGACAGTTGGGACGTGTGTTGGGGCAGGGCAGGGCGAGGGATTTCACCGGGAGGTTAGGGGTGGAAACCGTCAATTTTACGAACGGGGCACCGCAGCGCCTCCGGGTCATCTCATGACATTGCCGGGCAATGTCATGGGAACCGTCCCGCTATGGATGCATGAATTCGCAATTAGACTTCGTGGTGATGAATTAGAAGAATTTTGTCTCAAATTCAAATTTGTAGATTCTCGAATATGAAATTTGTCTAAAATCCAATTTCTGTTTTGGGTTTGATTGGACACAATTCGATATTTTATTTTGAACGTGGAGATCATGTGACTGGTGGAGATATTTGCGAACGAGAGAGTTAGAATGAAATGAATAGATGCCAGAAACCTTGTGGTTCAATGGCATTAAGGTGAATCTCCAAGTGGAAGCTAGGCCACGGACTCACGGATACAATCCTCGGTTGATGATTCGAGAGGACAACTTTGTGTGCTTAAATAGGTTGAGAAAAAATGTATGAATATATATTACAACTGTGATATAATCACTGTGTATTTATGTTTTAAAAAATAATATTAATAGATGGGATAGTAGGAGCCGATCGGCCCAATTTGCGCAATGTGTTTATTACTCTTTCCGTCCCAAATTAATTTGTAATTATTTTAGAACCAACCGCTCGACAATTTTTGTTTGTTTTTTATTGATTATTTGATAAAATATTTTTTTTCTTTTCACCTCTTATTTTGTAGAGATTCCAACGTAGTTTTTAAATATGTAAATTTGATTAATTATTTTATATCATTTTTTAAATAAATTAATTTTTAAAAATAAGAAGGTTTTCTTGTATATGAAAATGGTAAATCCAATTTGGATGTGAGGAGTATCATTAACCATTTGCATTTAGACCCAAGATGCTCGACCCACTATATCCAATCAAGGTAAGCCCACCCAAAAGGAGGTATTGTAGCCCGTTCCGGAAGTAAACGAATACATTCGTTATATGGGCCATGAGGGAACTGACCCAAAGGCGAGGCCCAATCCTTGAACGTGTATGGAGTCGTGGACCCAACCCTATGAATAATGCGATTCCTTTTAAAAAGTACTCCCTCCGTCTCCCTAAGATGTTCTCGTTTTGACTTTTGGTGGTTTTTAAGGAGAGTTGAAAATATGTGAAAGTTTACTATAATACCCTTAATGAAAATGGATGGAGTGTATTAAATGAGGTGAGTGAGGTGCAATAAATAAAGTAAGTGGGGGTAGTTGTGGTATTTTAATTGTTAAAAAATGAAATGAGAAGATCTATTGTGGAAAAGGAAAAAGAGCTATTGAGAAGATCTATGGGGGACAGAAAGAGTATTTGAAAGCAAATTTCGAAATAATGCGAATTGTGAAAATGAAGAAATTTATGAGACGTTTTTATATTTTTTTTTGAACAAACTTAAAATGAAAAGTGAGACGAGTAATTCGAAACATATGGTAGCTCGGAAAATAGAAGTCCAAAATAAACAACTTGCCCCAAAAGACGACTGGGCTAAGAAAAGAAGATATAACTTGCAAAGAAGAAACCAATTGCGGGCCTAGGTTTGTAGTCGGGCCCAACGAAGCGCTAGACCACTACAATCCGAACCACCGTGGTTAGTTTTTTTATTTTATGAATATTACTACTGATTTTATTAGTGGGTATGATATACTCCGTAGTCTTTTATGATACTCTTTTTGTTTTGTCCAAAATAAAAAATCCCTTTTTTTACGAAAAATATTTTTCAGATTGTAAATGATTATTAAGGTTTTTTTCTTGTATAAATTTCAACTATATATTTTAATTTTTTTAAAGATAGTGTAAAACAAGTCATTTAAGTAACGATGATTAGTCAACTCCAAGACTAAACTAACGAATGTAAAGTTATTTGGGCTGCATTGATAATCCAAACTGCTCCTTGTGCTAGAGCTAGAGGGCCAGCTGGACAATTGGACGGGAATAACAAGAAAATGTTTTTTTGGAAATGGATAAGGAATTAAGGATAAAGCTATTTGTACCCCACTTTGTACCCCGCAGATTTGCACTAACACTTTGTGTTGGTGTAAAACTAATTTTTGTTAATGCACCGACACTTCGTGTTCGTGTAAATTTTTGTTAACGCACAAACACTTGTGTCGATGTAAATCATCAAAATGTTTGTGTATAACTATGATGTACAAATGAGGTACAATTTGTGGTGTAAGTGTAGAATGACCCAATGGATAAATGAGTTTTATAATTCTAAGTTTAATAATATTATATTCCTTTTGAAACATCTGAGTTTCGAGCTTTTTTAATTTATAATACTTCCTCTGTTCGCTAATTACTTACAGAGTATTATTTACCTATGCGAATTACCATACTTCTACTTTTTTTAAGCTCCCAAGGGTTTGATAAAAATATCATATTTAGTAAAAATAATAATTAAAATTGCCATATTTACTCATACATTTGTGGAAATAGCAATTGGAAAAATACGAAAAAATTGCTAATTTAACCGAGTTTAGCAATTATGATTGGAGCACATAAAAGAATGTAAATGTGGCATTGACTAGTAGCAAGTAGTACTAGTCATTGCCGCATTGGCGATTTTTTACTACTTCCACAAGAAAGTTTTCATACGCTTAACTTATATAGTCAAATTGTGTATCTCTTTTTATAACATATTTTCGTTAATTATTTGTATGTTTTAATATAATCTAAAGTTAAGCTATGTAATTTGTATATTTTAATTTAAAATTAAATTTATATAACTTAAAAATTGAAAATATTTAAGCCAAATTTACAAGTGGAACCATTTTATGGGAGGGAGGGAGTATTCTCCCTCCTCTTCGGCTAAAATGTGTGTTCGCAAACTTTCCTTCCAAACCTCTTCCATCCAATCCGCCATATCCAACCTCGGATCTTTTTCCAGTCCGCCATTCCTGTGTTCCTTCCAAGCTCAGCAGCTCCATTACAAAGAAACAGATGAACCGCCGGAAGTCGACATTGATCGGCACACGGCCGTCACAAACAGAGCCTACTGGACCAGGAGAATCCACAAGCTCTGTGCCGGCGACCGCAATGTCGACGGAGCTCTTCTCCTTCTCGATCATCTCCGCCTGCGCGGATACATTCCCGACTCCCTTAATCTCAGCAGCGTCATCCATGCCCTGTGCGATGCCGGCCGCTTCCCGGAAGCTCACCGCCGGTTCTCTCTCGCCGCGTCCGTCCACTCTGACGTGCTCGACGAGCGGACCTGTAACGTCATCATCGCTCGCTTGCTCGACTCGCGTAGCCCGGAATCAACCCTTGGTGTAATCCGGTCTTTGTTTCGTGGAAAGCCGGAGTTTGTGCCTTCTTTGATGAACTACAACCGTTTGATTGATCAATTTTGTGCGGTTTCAATGCCCCGTGATGCCCACCGGGTGTTCGATGAAATGCGTGACAGAGGGCACTTTCCGAATGTTGTTTCTTACACGACTCTGATCAATGGTTATTGTAGGGTAGGGAAAATCAGTGATGCCTGGAATCTGTTCGACGAAATGTCTAGCCGGGGAGTGAGTCCTAATCCACTCACTTATAGCACGTTAATCCGCGGGGCTCTCAGAAAGAAGGATGTCGAGAAGGGAAAAGCATTGATGGGAAATCTGTGGAAGGCAATGACCATTGAGGAGGATACGCTTGTCAACTCTGCGGCATTTTCTAACTTGATTGATTCTTTATGCAGATCGGGTTTGTTCCATGAAGTGTTCAATATTGCAGGAGAAATGCCTCAAGGAAAGAGTGTGGCTAATGAGTTTTCATACGGGCAAATGATTGATTCGCTTTGTAGATATGGGATGTACAATGGGGCTGCAAGAATCGTTTATATGATGAAGAAGAGAGGATTGAACCCAGGCTTAGTAGCCTATAACACGATCGTTCATGGGATATGTAAAGAAGGTGACTTTTTCAGAGCTTATCAATTATTTGATGAAGGGATTCGATTTGGATACTCTCCCTCAGAGTTCACATACAAACTGTTGATTGACGGTCTTTGCTCTCTATTCGACCTTGCCAAGGCGAAGAATGTCCTGAATATCATGCTAAGAACAAAATCTGCAGACAAAACTAGGATTTACAACATATATCTGAGAGCAACCTGTCAAACTGGTAATCCTGCCCATCTGTTAAACACACTTGTAACCATGCTTGAATCACAATGTGAACCCGATGTTATATCCCTTAATATTGTCATCAACGGGTTTTGCAAAATGGGAAGAGTTGATGAAGCTATGAAGGTACTTCAAGATATGATGAGCGGGAAGAAGTTTTGTTCTCCAGATGCAGTTACATACACGACAGCCATTACAGGTTTGCTTGAAGTAGGGAGGGATGAAGAAGCTCTAAACTTATTACGTTACACAATGCCCGAGAGTGGTATTACTCCAAATGTCGTGACTTACAATGCCGTTCTTCGTGGGTTCTTCAAGATGCATAGGGTTGATGAAGCAATGGAGATCTTTAACACCTGCAGATTTCCCGCCGATTCTACAACTCACACCATTATAATCGATGGATTATTCGATTCGGGAAGGGTAGATGAAGCAAAAAAATTTTGGGATGCTGTTGTTTGGCCATCTAGAGTTCATGATGGGTATGTGTATTCTGCAATTCTGAAAGGGCTTTGCCAAACAGGAAGAGTAGAAGATGCTTGTGACTTCTTGTATGAATTGGTGGATTGTGGGGTTTCTTTGTGCCATGTAAATTACAACATTGTGATTGATGGTGCCTCTAGGTTTGGGTTGAAGAAAGAAGCTTATCAGATTGTGTGTGAAATGAGAAAGAATGGGCTTACACCCGATGCAGTGACATGGAGAATTCTTGATAAGTTGCACAAAAAAACAAGAACGAAGCTCTAATCACTGAGGAGTGAATTAAGGTATAGACTAGAAGACTGGCTAGAGTGTAATGATTCGTTTCAAATGAGTTGTTCGTTTCACATAGTGAAACTCATATGAACAGGAATAGTAGAGATTCGTTGAACTCATTCTGTTCAACGAATCTTTTCACCGTGTTCAACTCATTTCAAACGAATCCTTTCAGGCAATAAGATGATACTTCACACTAGGCCAAGATCTATCATCCTAGGTAAGAAAACGAAGTTATTGCTGCGGGAGAAGCTGACTGAATGGATAAGCTTAGGTATGTGTTGGAATCATATATAAAGGTTTTTGGGCATGAAAAGAAGTGCTTGAAGGGCTACAAGATGGGTTACAGTTAGGGGTGTTGACTGAGCTGAGTTGAGAAATCACAAATGTGCGCGACAACCGTTCAGTTGGTGTTCAAATTGTTCGGTACGTTTGCAACCATATTTTGAATTGTTGAATTATATTACTGTATCACTTTAAAACAAGGATTGTGAAATTTTTTTATACAAGAAAAATGGGGTTTTATAAAGTCCAATACCAACTGTAAAGATGTATGTAACACAGCCTGATTAGAGCTTAGTTTATAGCTGTAAGAGTGTTATTACTCATTAGACAGTCAATTTTTGGTCCCTCTTTCTTCCTATTTGAGGAATTGTCCTCTTATTTTGTGAATTTCTGTTGATATAGAAAACAGTGTTTGTGACTCTGTGTGTGCTATTAGTAGAAGAAGAGCTTAGTGTTAGCCTTGATTTTCAATAGGGTATTGCTTTTCATTCTTGTACTAGTGTTTATGCTTTCTTTAGTTAACTTATCTTCAACTTGGATTTTGGAAACACTCTCTACTTAGGTCATGTTCTCTCCAACTTATTTTTTTACTTATTAGTTACGTAGTATTACTTATTTTTATTGGAATCAGATCAGATCAGAAATAACTTTAAAAATAACTACATTTTGATCAGATCAGATTCGATCAGAATTTATTCCAATCAGATCAAAACCAATCAAATTAGGTGAAGAATACTTGGCCTTAGGTGAAGTAAGGAAGTAAGGTTGTCTGAGGGCAAACTTTAGGATCACACTTTGATGTTCGTAGCATTTTCATAGTCTTGCTTGAGTGACATCAAATCTGACACCATCGTTCATTCATCGAGAGTTCGAGATGTGCAAATATGGATTAAACTATTTACACCCCCAAATTATATACCACAGGCTTGCACTTTCATTTTATGTCAGTGTGATGTTAGGGTGATAGTTCACACAGTCACAAAACGTTAGTCCAAAGTTTTTTAATCGTAGTAATTTTTTTGTGTCAGTGTGAACCATCTAATGTTAGTGTGTATCTTTAATATAACTTTGAGGTACATTTCTTCTTGTAAGTATAACATGATTGTACAAATATTGATTATCTGCGTCTTACAATGATGTTAAACTTAGGATCTTTGTGTAATGTCAAAATAGACCTCTATTTTAAATGCAAACATGTGACATGATCTAGTGTTTTTATAGAACTTGTATTGTTTCATTATTATCTAAACAGTTACACATTATTCAGTGCTCAGTACTGTAACATTTAATAAAAATTGTATTTTAGCATATCATACCAATGTAAAACTATACTTTAGTGCATTGATGATAAACATAATTTATTCTTATAAAAGAATCAATAAAATTTTTAAAAAAATGGTGTAGCAATATTCTTATGTGTCTTTATTCAGCATGTGTCTTATTAATTACACAAATAATCCAGAACCGGAAGAAACCAGTAAACCTTTTCGAGAACGGTAACCTCCCTTGAATTGAACACGGATAAAAATGTAAAGTTTGCACTAAATAGCAATAGAACATGCCCTCTTCTGTTCCTAAATATTTGTCACACTTGTATTCCCGAGGTAAAATCAAGCCTTTTCAATTCATTTTATTTACATATTGATAAAGAAATAAAAAAATAAAATTTACATATCAAAAAACTAAATGAAAAGTTCTTCGAAATAAGAAGTGTTAAGAATATTTTATTTTATCAAATAATCAATAAACACGTAGAAATAAACAAAAGTTCATGCGACTGTTGAAAAAGCAAATGTTGCAAATATTTAGGAACGGAGGAAGTATATCTTTTCCCAAATGTAGCACCTAAAGTTTTTAATTCCTTAAATTGTACTACCTCCGTCCAAAAAAGATTTACACGTTTTGACTAAAGTTGAAATTAAGAGAGGGATAATTTTGTGTTAACTTTTCAAAAATACCCTTGATGTGATGGGTAAAAGTAGGATGTGATTTGTAGATTATTAGGAAAAAGGTATGATGTGATAGGTATGGTTTGAAAAAGTAAGAGGTAAAAGTGGTTTTTTAATAAAAATGTGTAGGAGATTGTTTCAAGGGAAAGGCTTGATTGTTTCAAAGAAAATGACAGGTCATGAGAATGACTTGATGATTTCAAAGAAGGACAGGTCATGGGAATGACTTGATGATTTCAAAGAGGGACATGTTTTGGGAATGACTTGTGTGGTCAAGGGAAAGGCTTGATTGTTTCAAAAAAAAGGACAGGTCATGAGAATGACTTGATGATTTCAAAGAAGGACAGGTCATGGAAATGACTTGATGATTTCAAAGAGGGACATATTTTAGGAATGACTTGATGATTTCAAAAGTGATAGGTCAACATAAATATACTTCCCGCCCTTGATGATTTCCTCACAAGGCTAGTAAGTGGAGGACTTCTTGATGGGTATATCCCTATACCCGACCCGGATAACCGAAAGGGACAGGTCGAAATATGACCGGTCACTTTTATCAATCACCAAAGGAAGTTAACTCTTCGATTGAGATGCGTCAAAAGTTGACAGGTCACTTTCCTTGAAAAAGTGACCGGTCACATTTTGGGCAATAGCCAAAATATCACCTAATATTACGAAGGATATTCCAGAGGACCAAAGAGACGGGTTGAACTCAAGAAATGACCGGGGTAACCTTTTAGAAAAGGTGACCGGTCAAGTTGCGTTACTTGATCATGGCAATCAACATTAGAGACCAGGGGACCACCCCGTCGATCGTCCGTCACAAGGCAAACAGTGAAAGGAATGATTGTCATTTTGCAGGATTGATTGGATTGAGAATATCCATGTTATAGTCTTTGATTGAACAGTACATGTCTTGGCTTGTAGTTGCTAGATTAATTGATTGAATAGTAAATTGATTATGTACAGTGACCTTCCTTCGGGTTTCCTATTTTGTCCATGGATGAACAGGGGAAGGTCACAAATCCCCCTCTATAAATATGATGATATTGGATAGAGGAGGGGATCCATTCTTTATCTCACTAAAAATAGTACACTCTTGAGAGAGAGTAAGAAATATAATTCGGACTGAGGAGATTTACCCGGTCTAGGTCATACTTTGTGTTCTTGTTGTGTGTTTTATATTACGGGTCAAGTGTGTCCAGGTCAAACCCGGTTAACCCACCCATCCATATTTACACCATCAGGTAGGGTTTGAAAAAGTAAGAGGTAAAAGTGGTTTTTTTAATAGAAATGGGTAGGAGATTGTGGGACGCAATTTTTTTGAAAGGTGTAAATCTTTTTAAGACAGAGAAAGTAATTGAATAATGTCCAAATGCAGAAACAATAGTAGACATTTATGGAAAAAATCACTATATTCCACAAAAAAATCAAGGATTATGCTATGTGTACCCCAAGGGTTGTACCCCAATTTGTACCCCGCAGTTTTGCACCAACACTTTGTGTTGGTGTAAAACTAATTTTTGTTAAATGCACCAACATTTGTGTCCGTGTGAATTTTTATTAACGCACCAACACTTGTGTCGGTGTAAATCATCGAAATGTTTGTGCAAATCTGTGGTGTACAAATGGGGTATATTTTTTGGTGTAAGTGTAGCATGTACAAAAATCAACTTTCTCTCGAGTCTCATATATACTCCTCTCCGTACATATCCGCTTTACCAATTGCTGCTCCAATCTTCCTGAAACCTTTTCTGAAATGGCCGCAAATGCTAACCCTAACCCCAAATCGGGGCCCACGGTGTGCCCGCAAGACGCCGACGAGGTTCAGAAGGTGTTCGAGAAGTTCGATGCCAACGGAGACGGCAAGATCTCGGCGGAGGAGCTCTCCGGCGTCCTGAGCGCTTTGGGGACAGAGTTATCGCCGGAGGAACTGAATCAGGTGATGGACGAGATCGACACCGACAAGGACGGATTCATAAATCTCCCGGAGTTCGCCGATTTCTGCAAGGGAGACGGCGGATCGAAGGAGCTCCGAGACGCCTTCGATCTCTACGACGCGGACAAAGACGGCCTGATCTCCGCCAAGGAGCTGCACGAGATCCTCACGCGCCTGGGTGTGAGCACCTGCAGCGTCGAGGAATGCCAGAAGATGATCGGATCCGTGGATTCCGACGGCGACGGCAGCGTCAACTTTTCAGAGTTCGAGAAGATGATGACTAAGAAGCAGTAGCCGTCCATCGATCGCGGTGGCGGGACGGTGGTTGCTGCGTGACGCACGCAGGTTTCGGTGTGGGCGCATGTAGGGTATCGTTTCCTTTCCGTTAGAATAATTACGGAGTTTATATTTTACGTTACTAATCGCAGAGGATAACGACGCATTAACAAGGATCTGTTTGCCACTTTGGCTCCCCTTTGGTTTAAGCCCTTCTTTGGGTTGGTCTTCTATTTATCAATATTATAGTTTAATATTATAAAAATTGTGATGATTTTCCTATTTACAGCATTTAACCTTGTTAAAACCCCCAATGGTTGATTAGTTTTATGTAATCAGCAATCACAAAAACTAAGTCGTATTCGAAGAGTGGTTTGATTAGTGAATAGAGGATGCAAAAGGAGGTAATGTCTGAGTTCAATTCTGGGCCACAAAGACTAGAGATGGCCATACATAGTATGAGATCCTTACTTCTATTAGGAATAGATCTCGCTTTCTATTTATTGGTTTATGCATGATTAAACCTCAATCAATATATGGAGTATACGGTAGTCGGGTAGTTCATGTGACATTATTCATAGTGTCATGTGACCTGAGACTTTTACGATATTTCCTTCAAAATATTGATGGTTCTCACCTCTCTAATCCATATTAACCCCTATCATTGTGAGTTATAGTCAATCGGCGAAGGAAAGAGGTTAGGGGAAGAACCGTTTTAAAAAGGGCATTGTAGAAGGCCCAAGTCATCTAGGCCGTTATGATAAGAAATGGATCAAATCAGAACCAACCTTTAAATGAGCACTCTTTTTAAGTACGAACACCGGCAATTTTGACCCTCACTTTGTTGAATTAATAATTCTTACCTCCTTATGAACCCCACCCACCAATTTGCCTCGTTCTGATCTCTTTAGCCCCCCATGTCAAGAATCTTTTTTTTCTAAGCACAAGGTGTGGCGGATGATAGATAAGGCCGATCTTAGGGGTGGGTCTAAGAGAGAGTTAGTTACCTGTCTTAATGTAGTCAGTAATCGCAAAAGCTAAGTCGTATTCATGTAGTTTAATTGGTCAATAGAGGATGCAAAGGTTTGATTCTAATTCTTTGCCACAATGATTAGAGATGGTCATACATGTATTACCATGAGATTCTTACATGTATTAGGAATAGATCTCACTTTCGATTGTTTAGTTTATGAATCAAATGAGAACCAACCTTTAAATGAGCACAATTTTAAAGTATGAATACCAGCAATTCAGACCTTCAATTTATTCAATTAATGGTTCTTAAGTCCTTATTAACTCCACCTCCAACTTGCCTCCTTTTGATCTCTTTAGCCTCCAATTGTAGTCTTAAAATTGGTTGACATTCTGGTTAATACTATCTCCGTTCCGCTATATTCGTCCACTTTTGACTTTTGGAATTGTTCATCTAATCACTTTGACTCATCAAATTCTCTCAATGTGTAAGCCTAAATATAGTCATGTGTGATCTTGTTTGATTTGTCTTAACATATAGATTATTAATATATAATTTCTATAATTTTTTAACATACAAATTACAAGATAAAATAGATTAAAGAAGTGTATTGAATGGTGTGTAAAAATGAAAGTGGACAAATACTCTGGGACGGAGTGAGTATGTCATGATTTTTTTCATAAGAACAAGGCATGGCGGATGATAGACAAGACTGATTTTGGGGGTGGGTCCAAGAGAGAAAAAGATAGCTCCCTATGGCTTTTGTATGTAGGGATGAAAACTTTTACCAAACCTAATTTTAGGGGTGGGTCCAAGAGAAAAATATTTTATTTTTGCATTAATTCTGGATTTTTTTTAAAAAAAATTATTATTTACTATATTTTTTTTACGTCATCCGTCCCATAAATTGTACTCATTTTGACTTTTAAAATTTTAAAGTAAGAATATATTTGTGTTAAATTTTCAAAAATACTATTAATGTGATGAGATCAAATAGAATGTAATGAGTAAACTATTAGTAAAAATGTATAACGTCATAGGTGAGGTAAAAATTAATATGCGTAAAAGTAATTTTTAATATAAAAAGGATTTTGTGGGTCACATAAATAAAGAAAGAAGAAGAACTTTTTGGGACAGAGAGACTATTTTTTATATATATAAATACGGTGGGGTTCTAGTGACACCGGAATACGGTGCCACTCCGTTTTTGGAGTACCTCCGGTGCTCCGTTCGCAAAATTGATGGTTCCTACGCCTCCTAACCTACCCCTAAACCCCCCACCCTACTCCCGCCCTTGCACCCCCACCCCAACCCCGCCGTAAGCCCCCCACAAAATGTGTGGCTATTATGCGTTGCATAATAGCCACACATTTTGTGGGGGGCATACGTCGGGGTTGGGGTGGGGGCACAGGGGCGGGGTAGGGTGGGGGGTTTAGGGGATAGGAACCGTCAATTTTGTGAACGGAACACCAGAGGTGCTCCAAAATGCCAGTGGCACCGGAGTGGCACCGTATTCCGGTGTCACTAGAACCTCACCGATATAAATATGTTTAAAAAATTTTAATAATTAAGAGAAATCTTTTTTTTTTCCTATTAAAATATAGCGGCATTGATGGTGGAGGATGTTGGTGGTGACCATTTTTCAGAACAATGGCACTTGAAGATACCCTTTTGCTAACAAACACAATAATTCTCTGTAATAGACATTGTTTGTTTTCTGTGTAAGACAGGATTGAGGTGATTATGACCAATGACCACTTAGATTCCACTCAATGAAACCATCCAAGCCATGAATGACAGGGAATTGTTTTGCAAATTTTTAAATAATTATTGTGATTTTTACATAGTTTAGAAAAAAATGAAATAAAATGGTGGTAGTTATTAAAACTCCACCGGTAGAGTCTCAGGTAAAATTAATCACTTGCATATGAATTCAAGATTTAATTTTTGACTCAAAAGCTTAAGCTGATAGATTGAGTTTCATCCTTCTATATATGCCAGTGGTATTTTTCTTTATTTTTCAATGTGTAAACTCCAATAGAAGTTTATGTGAAAATTAAAAGTTAATTATTGCATAGTTCTTTCAAAATGTTAAAATTTAGTATTGAACCTAATGTCAAACAAAGCCAAGATAATTTATACATTACCACCATGTTTGGTTCAAGGAATTTGATAGAAAAAGAAAAGAAAATGATTTTCTCTCATTTTTCTTGCCAAAATGAGAGGAATTTGGTTTTCCTTCCTCTTAGAACTTTGTTGCCTTCTCATTTTCTTTTCCATCCATTTTTCTTTTCGTTTTCTCTCCAACCAAACAAGACAAATATTTTCCTTCTCATTTTCTTTAATTTCCTTTCCCTCCCAAATTTTTTGAGCCAAAAATAAGGTACAAAGTATTCGTTATAATTCTAGAATTTTGAGGCTGAAGTTTAGAGTTGAGACGCATTCCAATATTGTTTTACTTTTTTGTGAAATAGAGTAAGATTTAGTAATTGGAGTTAAGAGACTATATTATAAAGCCAATTTTTTTATTTTAGTGAGAAATTTGAGAGAAAAATAATTATTATTTTTTCTTTAAAATTCTTTGAACCAAATATGACATTGAGGTAATCCACACATATAATAATGTCGATGTCACGTGTCACATGGTGGACACTCGACTCGATTGGACTCTTTATGCCTTTTTCTTAAAAAAAGTTTGACACCAAATTCACGGGATGTGCTTCTCATAAAGAAAAAAAAATCACGGGATGTTCTAAAAGAATTGGATAGTTTTTGGGAGGACAAAAAAAAATTGGACGAGAGATTAAATAATTAAGTTACACGTCTGTCCTTTTACTTTGGGAGCAATATGTTCCTTTTTTGTCATTTTATGGAAAAGGGTATGCATATACATATTATTTCTCCAGATTTTTTTATCACATCTTGTTTTTGTGAGATTTTCTTAACCACAGGATAAATTTTTTACTTCAACCTTTTTTTGTGAGAATTTGCGAATCTAGATGCGCCATTGTTGAAACACTCTCTCTGTCTCTAATTATTTATCTAGTTTTTCTCTTTTTGCATTCAACTATTTTTAACATCTGACTCATAATTAAATGGTTAGATAAATAATATTTTGAACACAACGGTTCTTTTGATCCTTGTTTCCAAGGTCATATTATATGACCCGCAGCTTCTACGATACTCCGTTAGTAAAATTAATTATTCCTACTTCTGCGGAGGTAATATTAAAAATAATTCTTTGTGATGGTGTCATCCAAAATTAAATAGCATTGTTTTTTTAGAAGCATAAAGTAGCACTGTTGATTATTGCTCTAACTAACCATTATATACTCCATACATTACATAAATTTGTGCATGTGATCATAACATAAAGATAGAGAGAGAGATCATATTAGGCTGCATTCTTTGCTTTTTTTTTCTCACCTCCTAGCCTCTTCTTTCTTCTCCTGCATTAATATATTTAAATACAACATATATTTTTCAAAAAAAAAAAAAAGACTCTTAATCTTTTCTTTTCTTTCTTTCTTGGAGATAGAGAGAATCAAAATCTTAAAAAGAAAAAAAAAAGAGCTAGTGTGTGAATATAATAAATAATAAATGGATGCATTTGATGAGGAGAGTGTGGATTATCTGTTCAAGACAGTGCTGGTAGGGGACTCTGGTGTGGGGAAGTCAAATCTGCTCTCAAGGTTTGCCAAAGATGAGTTTCACTTGGACTCAAAACCCACCATTGGTGTGGAGTTTGCTTACAAGAATGTTAGGGTAGGTGGTAAGGCCATCAAGGCCCAAATTTGGGACACTGCTGGCCAAGAGAGGTATGTATGTCTTACCTAGCTAGCTACATATGTGCCCTTAACACTGTCCTTAGATAATTTAAAAAAAAAATTCTTCTTCTTCTTCTTCATTTCAATTTTCAACCAATAATAGTGGTTTTGAAGTTAAAAATTGAATTGTGTGATTAAAATTTATGTAAAAGATGGAGATATACATATTGATCCTTTTTTTAGAAAATAGTTGGAATATGAAATTTATTTTTAAACATTCAAATAAGAAAATTTTGGAGTTCTTTATAAGAGGATTGGAGAAAGGTTAGATTTTAGAAGTGTGTAATTTATGTCATACTTCCCAATTTTATCCTTATATTTGATAGATAAAATATGATGTACTCCGTAATAGATAAATTAAGAATGAATAGATATATTATGTTATACGTAGAGAAATCATTAGTTGGTGGGTAAATATGAGATTTTAATTGAAAATGTAAGTGTTTTATAAAAAGAGTGAAAAAGTGAAAATTAACTTGTTTTGTAAAATGGAGAGGGTATTAGTTACAAGTATGATAAAACAATTAGTGACATCACTATGTAATTATAAAACCATACTTTGTATTACAGATTCAGAGCGATCACGAGTTCATACTACCGGGGAGCACTAGGGGCGCTACTAGTCTACGACATAACGCGTGGCGTAACCTTTGAGAACGTGCGAAAATGGCTTATGGAGCTGAGGCAATTTGGGAGCCCGGAGATGGTCGTCGTGTTGGTTGGCAACAAATCCGACCTCGGAAATCCATCGTCAAGACAAGTGGAGACAGAAGACGGGAAAAGGTTGGCACAGTTAGAGGGCGTGTCTTTCCTAGAAACGTCTGCAATGGAGAACGTAAACGTGGAAGAAGCATTTCTGGAGATGATTACGAAGATTCACGAGGTTGTGAGCCAGAAGAGGTTGGAGGTTGAGATGAACACTCCAAGCATTGCTCTTTTTGGACAAAAGGAGGTCATCAACATTGATGGAATTGCTGCAGCCAAACAGGCTCCTAATTGTTGTGCATACTGAAGAAGAAGAAAAATGTTGTGTGTACATTACTTTTGTATGGCTTTAATAGGCCGTGTTTGGCTTGCCTACTTGTTTTCTCGGGAAGGATTTGGTGTAATGTCATTCGAAAAACTCTTAAAACATCTCTTATCGGAAAAGTAGAGAAAGAATGACGGGTCTTGTTACAGTCACACCACGGATGACAATTACAGACAATGATTATCTCACGAAAAACACAAGAGATTAAAGTAGCATGTTTCCTATTAAAAAAACTCGTTTCTTGAGGCGAAGGGGTCAAAACGCGACTTATATATAACTTTGAAGTTTACAGAATGTTGCGTTATTAATTTCATCATTAAACAAACAATGTACATCAATTATCCCACAAGAAAGTAGGGTTTTTGGGGGAGCGTATACGCAAATTTTACCCCGACTCGGAAGTAGAAATGTCGTTTCGATGAGACGAATCGGCGTGCATCAAGTTGTGAAAAGTAAGAAGCTCTGGTATGGAAGGGTCATCTCATCTTCATTTCACCATCATCCCCTCCATAGCTTGTTCTGCAACTTTCCACAAAGTTTAAAATTTTTTAAAAAAAATAGTTGGGCTTAAAGTGAGAGTGGGTACAGATAGTTTCTGGGAAAGATATTCTTACCAGCTCAGTTCTTGGGGCAGGTTGTGGTTATACATGGGAAACTCAAAGAGGAACACTGTTTTAAACCACTTGGGCAGGTTCTCATATATTGCAGGGGGCAGCAGAATGAGAGGGCTGGCACAGATAGTTACACTGAACTGTTAGTTTCTACAAAAATGCTAGGAACCCACCACGGGTGCCCCCACGGATGACAATCACAAATGATTCATTCATACAGAGACTGTGAACGCAGAGGATCATCGTCTGTATATGTATGAAATCACCTGTGATTTGTCATTCGTGGGGGCAACTGAGGTGGGTTTTTTAGCATGATTCTAGTTTTTAAGCTAGAGATGTCGCAAATTAGAACAACAACAAACCCAGTGAAATACCATAAAACTTAGGGTCTGGGGAGGATGTGTTTACGCAAACATACCAAAACGGAAAAAGATTGAAACTTTTGGCATTAAATTGAAAAATGAGGCATAAATGTGGGTACCTATTGGGCAAAAACCTGAAAAAAGAAAGGTTCAGAGTGTGACCTTGTTTTTCTCTTATAGGACCGATATGCAGGCGAAGTTCCATACTTTTCATCCGCAGATTTCTGCGTGGCATATCCATTAGCAATGAGTTTACATGTTAAAGAAGACTGCAAATATTATGATCCTACAAGACGTAAAAAAAATACCGTAAAGTCTTATATGGACTCTAGTTAGGTTCATATAAGAAACGTGGACTCTCTAACCTTGACAATAAATTCTTACAAGGCAGGGATCTTTTGACATCAAGAACCATTTGGGGGTCCTATGATGCTCCGTTAGGATCGGCGGGACCGCATCATTTTGATGAAATGCTAGGGAGGCTAGGGTGGGTTAGGGGGTGGGACCCGCTCCCATATCCCACGAAGCACCAATGGACTCTGGTGTCAAATTATGACACTTAAAACGAGTGTCAAAAAAACCGTGATGGGAAGGGGGAATTTTTACAAGGATATGCTTCTTTTTTTTAATTACTCCGTATTAAACTACTTATCTGAGAAGATCTACAGTGGACCTTAGGTCCATGATAGAAGTACGTACCTCAAGCAAGGGTAAACCGCTAAGGAAAAGCAGAAGTAAGGTAATAAAAACCGGACCGAAGACAACAAGCCATTCAAAGCCTTGTAAAACTGGAGTAGAAGCCACAAATATTCCCCACCATAGAAAAATCTGAACACAATGCAGACATTTTTTCATATCATGACTCAAAGTTCCATCCCAAGAGGATTACAAGACACTTTGTCCAAACCACACAAAAAGATTTGAATCTTGAGTTGCAGAGACTAACCTCGCCAAAGTAGTTTGGATGGCGAGAGTATTTCCACACTCCAATGTCACACCATTTCCCTCGATTTTGTGGTGCGTTTTTGAATGCCAACTTTTGTTGGTCGGCCGTGACCTCGACTAAGAATCCAAAGAGCCACATAATCCACCCAATGATGTCTCTGGCCTCCAGAGACGGTTGATGGTTGCTCGCATTGACGACCGTCACAGGTAAGCTCACAGTCCATACCCACACAGCCTGTAAAGAAGAACGCAAAGAACTCTTGCTAACATATACAAAACCAATAAATCCCACTCAAGAGTAGCGCCTGGGGAGGGTAAAATGTATGCAAACAACAACAAATCCAGTAAAATCCCACACAAAGTATGAGTAAAGAGTATAGAGAGAGAGAGAGAGAGAGAGAGAGGTACACACAAATAGAAGTAAGTTAGATAGGAGAAGAGATGACCGAACCTGAAACGTCCAAAATATTGCCAATCTTCCTAGCTGGTCACGCTTTCCATCAAAACGTCGATCCTCCCCCCATTGTAATATTCTGAGTGAAAAACAAAAGAAAATGGTGAAGTTGTTTAAATCTGCAAAGGAACGAACTCAACCAAAAGCTCAAACTTTTGTGGTTATGAGGTCCAAGAAAGATTTGCTATTTTCTCTAACGAAGTCTAACACTCTATGTTTTGCGGGGTGCAAGACCAGATCTATTAAGACTCGAGTTCCATCTAAACAAGGTCTAATTGAAGCCACTTCTAAGTGGAAAAACATCATCAATATGAATAGTAGATGAATTACTCTGTAAATAACAGCAAACAATGGGAGTAGATTTTTTATATAAATGATTAAACCACATGTATTTACCTCATTAACAGAAATAGTCCGAGCCGGACACCCCAAATCACTACAAGCAGAGACAGAATCACCTGAAAGATAACGCTAAGAGATCCATTATTCGTCATTAACTCAACACTTTTTCTGTTGCAAGAGGCTATAATTCACTATCAAGAGGGAAAAAATCTCTCATATTTTGCATTTATTTCACCAGAATTAAGAATTAACAACCTTTAAAAAAGAAAAAAAGGGTTACCTGCCGAAAATGCCATGAACCCTTTAGAACCAAGGTCAATATAGCAAGTATAACAAAATTAGTGCTTCCTGATAAAATACAAAAATGCAATGATCAGGAAAGACACCTCATTTTTTTCAAATAAATTGCATTTAATTTAATCATCTAAACCCCAACTTGAAACATCTCTATTTCCAGGTTAGGGTCTTAGCCAACCCAGACCCTACTTTTGTGAGATTTTACCGGGTTTATTGTTGTAATTGTATCTAAATTTTTGCATAAGAATTCAACTCAAAAATCAAGGTTTTATTCTTCTGGATTATATATAGCCACAAGAAATCTTATTTGCATCTTCCAAAAAAACATAAAAAAATGGCAGGCAGTAGAGGACTAGACTTTTTTAGCATCTTTAATTACTTCAGAGTAATTAGTATAATAATGTAACAATTAGGGCCAGGTTTGCTTGAGTAAGTAGCACCAAAATCTACCTCAAAAATTCAATTGCATCAAAGACTAAAAATTGGCACACAAAATAGGCAAATGAAGAACATAAAATTCACCCCCTCCACAAAGAAGTTAAAAAAATGCAATCTTGATCAAGAAAAACAACCCAAGGAAAAAAAAGAGGAATAATCATAGCATACCTGCAAAGTCAGTAACTTTATCAAACCTGAGAAGCGCTGTGACTATGAAGAAAACCAACTGATAAGCAACCTATCAATGGAAAATTAAAAAAGAAAATAACACAGATCAGCACTTTCCCACTTCGATCAGTAGAGAAAACTGGGGAGGGTGGGGAAGAATGGTCTTTACAGTAACAATGGCGGTTATGGCCAAGAAATGGGAGTCCAAAAGGGTGCCCATAGATGATGATGATGATGATGATTTTTGGGTTCTGGAATAAGAAAAGAGTACTGCAATTTCTTGATTTGTTTGGGCTGCGGGCAAGAGAGTTGAAGATAATGTGGGCTGTGAAGGAATCGTTGAAATCTTTACAAGAATAACGTGTATGTAAGGAAAACCACAACTTTCTTCGTTGTGTAGGCTAGATTTGTTTTTTGTTCGACGTATATTATTTTCCTGAAGAAAATTCACTTGTTTTTTTCTTCTAAACTTCTGAGAAAAGTTTTTCATTATGTTAGGATACTTCATTTTTTACAATAATAAATAGTAAAAAAAGTTCTTTCTGTATCAGTATGTTTATTCAGTTTCACTGTTTACAATCAAACAAAACAAAATTTAATCATCACTTAAATGTTATACTCCCTCTGTCCCAATTTAAATCGCCTGTTTTGACTTCTGGGCATATTTAAGGAAAATAAAAAATAGAATTGATTTTTCAAAATTGACATTACTTTTTAGGAGAGGTGATGATGAATGAGAAGATAAGGTGAAGAAGAGTGACTTATTTTAGAAATAGTTTAGGTATTTTATTTTTAAAAATTTATGAAAACAACTAACAGACAACTTATTTTAGGACGGAGAAAAAAGGCAAACAGACAATTTAAAATGGGACAGAGGAAGTATTATGCTACTCTGTAATATTAAATATTACGGAGTATTTAATATAATTGACAATCAAAGTTCATCTAATTTGATTGTTAAAAGTCAAATTAAGTAAACACATTGGATCGAAAGTATTAATATTTGTTAATTTTGTTCTAAATTCATTAATCTGATCTCATTTGATCTGATCTTTTTTTATAGTTAAAGATGTTTTTTATCTGAAGCTTTCTGAACCGATCTAGTATTATGATTATTATTTGATTTGATTCTGATAAATTTTCAAAGTAAGTAATAAGTAGAAAAAATAAATTTAAGAAAACGTGAATTATATCACCTTTATAACCCACCCTCACATTTGAAAGTAGATACAGAAATTTTGTATGCTTCCTTAGTTCATTTACAAAAATGGACAAAATGGAGTAAGGGAAAATGGTTTAAAGTTTTGGATGGTTGGAATTCCAAATTTGCCCCCTGTTTTCAGTTGTTTGGATTGAAGTTTTGCATGGGAGGGAACTCCAAATTTGCCCCGATCCAAACAGGGCATAAGGGGCAAAGGTGTTGAACCACCCTCAAATGAATTTATTAGAAGCAGTAAATAAATAAATAAATATCATACAGTAAATAAATAAATCCCATACATTCAAATCTGAGGAATTGAAAGAAGAAGAAGAAGAAAAGCTGCTAATAATGTCTGCCTCTATTTCTCTTTCCTTTAACAAGGCAACAGCATGGTACAAACAACAGACAGTCACCCCCCCCCCCTACCCCCCACCCCTCCAACAGAAAAAAAACTAAACCTCAACTCTAACAACATTATTGACAAATTAGCTTAAGCTGAAAGCTTTCAATATCTCTGCAAATTACCCAAATGATGAAATGATTTAAACAAATGTCAAATTGTGAATGCAGGGAAAAGAGAGCCTACTACCAATTAATGCCCATATATCAGATCCTCCTAGTTTTTCTTCTTCACCATGTGTTCCCTTTTCAGGGCACGGGATTTACATCTTTTGCAGCGGAAGCTTCCAGATTTTGCAACGCCGCTAGTGCCGTTTCATCGCTCAAGAATGGGCGTATGACCCTTGCAGTTTCCTTTATCATTGATTTCTGCCAAATGAGATTGACGCGTATGCATGTTAAAGATGCATGATGTAACCACAGGCATCTTAATAGATTGCAGGAAAACGATACTTGACACCAAAGTTTTTGAATGAAACCATGAGAGAATCACACGTCATTTGTGTGTGAGACACTGGCGGTGTAAATTTTGGTGTCATCCGTGGTGTGGATGTAGCGTGAAAACCTCAATAGATTGCAGGAAAACAATACTTTAACTCCAGGGATGACACCAAGGTTTTTGAATGAAAGCATCAGAGACAATCACACATATTGACAGTGAGACACCAGCGGCATAAATTTTGGTGTCATCCGTGGTGTGGACGTAGCGTGAACCTCAATAGATTGCAGGAAAATAACGAGCTGCAGAAACTATTTTAGAAAGCACAATGGCTTCCGTGACGGAATATAGGGGCAGGGCAGTGCGCCAGTGCACAAAGTTTTGATCTTTTCAGTTATGCTTGAAAAAGGCTGCTTTCAGGATTTGAACATGCATGTATAATAATGTTGAGCCATTGAGATAGAAACCATTTAACACTTTTAAAAATGGCTTCCCTTTTTTTCAGTTCAAATAATTATGGAAAAGCCAGACACATGAAAAACTTTCTTACGCTCTTCGGTACCCCCCCCCCTAAAAAAACAATTAGAAGGATAATATAAACCAAGAAACATTCAGAGGGGGTATAATTTGATCCATAAGTAAAAGATTCTCTGATATTTAACTTACCAGCTGCTCATGTTCTCCCTGCAGAGCGGAATGATGAGAATAGGAAGCAATGGGTGCGACTAATGGTGCGCTCTGGAATCCCAAAAAATGGGTGGAAACACCCAAAAAAGAAGAGTAATTATCCCAAATATGGATGAAGAGAAATGTACAATATATCAATACAGAAGTAAAGAGAACTGAGAATCATAAAATGAGTAGATAGCCAAAAGCCACTAGCACTAACTTTTGAGACATCCTCCTTAGTAATAACAACTAGCAGTTCATCTGAACATTTACTTTTCAATTCAGAGTTTTTTTACCTACAATTTATGAATCTGTTTTATAATTTTTTTCATATTCTTAAATTAATATTCATAACAAAATACAGAGTGATTATCATTCATTATTAAATAAAAGAAACTACCTGCTACATAAGTGTCCAAAATTTGCATTTTTATTAAGAACAGTAAACCTAGTAAAATCCCACACAATGTAGGTTGTGGGGAGGGTGAATGTAAGCAGACATTACTCCTACTTGGAAGTATTGAGCGTGTTTCCAAAATACCCCTAGCTCAAAGCAAACAAAAGAAAAGGCAAAAAAATTTCAGTATGAACAAAGAGCAAAGAAGCACCCAGCCGATCCAAACAACAAGACCTCAAGCCCAAAACATGAGTTTNCCCCCCCCCCCCCAAAAGCCAAAAACTACCAAATTCAAAGACATGTCAGCCAAAAGTACGAAATAAGGTTCCTAAGGAAGAGAATGCCAAATGGAGTCGTCGTAAGGTCTACCCGGAAAATCTCCAAAAAAAATGCCAACGAGTCCAATTTCAACCCTCTATTTTTGTATGCTTTATGGTTTGATTTTTTCACTGGGTAAACCAGTGTTCACGACTTCACGATCAACTATTCCATCTGTCCCTAAAAATGTCAAAAACTAAAATCTTGAAAGAAAACAGAACATAAGAAACATCATTTATTTCGTCTCCTGTTAATATTCAAGTTGGAAATTGTGTATGTTGGAAATTGTGTATTTACTATTATTGGTGATCATCATCAAACTGTTTCAATGGCTATCATTCGTAGGAACATGCAATAACCAATTTCCAGCCTGCAACAAATGATAATATAGGTATGGAGTAATGTCAAAGTTAACATTGCTATAAGGACAGAAGAAGATTTTAACTTTTTGGAAAATGATTTGATTGTGGAAATAAATGTTACTCCATCATCCCTATTTCATTGTCTCATTTTGACTTCAAATAAGGTTTTACAAATACGAAATTGTGGTGTACATGCATGGAGATGGGAGAGAAAATATATGAGCCACCCAATTACGCTATCCGTCCCAATTTAAATTGCATGTTCACAATTCACATGATCAAAAACTTTAATCACTTTCTTTACCTATCCAATTTAAATTGCATGTTCACAATTCACATGATCAAAAACTTTAATCACTTTCTTTACCTATCCAATTTAAATTGCATGTTCACAATTCACATGATCAAAAACTTTAATCACTTTCTTTACCTATTATTGTTACTGATTTGATAAAATAATAGTCATGCCACCTCTTGATTTGTAGAACTTTTAATGTAGTCTTAAATATTTCAATCGAACATTATAAACTGAAATGGATAATTTAAATTGGTTCAAAGGGAGTATTATTTTAAAGGTAATAGGACAATTAAAACAAGACAACCTCAAAAGGAAAGTGAAACAACTTAAAAATGACAGATGGAGTACTGTCTTAGGCATAAATCGAAGTTCAACATGACTACAAATCTACAATTGAAAAACAAAGTCCACAAGGATTCCTTGCGCTCATCTGAGTTAATCTAAAGTTGTTTCTGTTCAAAATTCAAAATCCTAGATTTTCTTTTTATTTTAACTTAATATCAAAGTGTTGTTGCTTCTTTAATTTAACTGTAAATCTTTTAGGAAAATTGGTGAACTCAAATTTTAACATGTAATAAAAATAGTTACAATATATTTATATTTTTCTTTTTTATCTTTTAAAACATATGATTTTTAGTTATATTTTATAAAATATAATTTGTGTAAGATGAAAATGTATTAATGTTTTTAGATATAGTATAAGACGCATCGTAAGTTAAATAATTCACAATCTATGTTGGTCCATCATATAAATTATGGAGTATAATTATTAAAATATTCGCTTAGGATTCGTTAAGTATTCGAATATTAATCAAATACAAATTCGAATCTTATTTTTAATTCGTCACATATTCGAATTTGAATTTGTATTCGAAAAAATTAAACAAATACAAATTCAAATATCAAGACATTTGCTTCGATGCGGTTCGTTTACACCCCCAGACGAAAGGAGAAAGGAGTGCTCTTTTTTCCAAATGTATTTGTCCACTTTGCTTTCTCAGATTTCACAATCTCCGAGGGAAATATTTGGTCATTTTTATGTAATATAATAATTTAGTAAACAAATTAACAAAAATAAATTAATGGAAGTGTACATTAAATAAATGTTATCTTGTTCCTTACTTTCTTGACCCCGACCCCTAACCGGGTTGGAATACGCTAATGTATTTTGCAAGACAAATCCTATGAAACAATTCATTTATTATCATTTTGTCATTCAATTCATTTTTTGAGTTAGTTAAGGGTCAAAGTTTGCAAAATTTAACTCTAAAAACTCAAACTGGCACACTGGCACAGAAGAAGTTAATGCATCATTTCACTCCAATGGGGTTGGGATTACATTGGATTTTCTTGTTGTATTATTAAATCTTATGAAACCATTTTTTAAACATCACTCTATTTGTTTTTTTGTTAAGTAGTGGACAGAGAAAGTGTTTCTCAAAAATTAAAAATTACGGAGTAAATGATAGCTTAGGGTGATACTCATTAGTGTATCACTTTGCGCTGCTCCAAAAGGTTGGGATTATATTGGTTTTGATGATGTATTATCACAGGTGGATCCATAACAAAAATATGGGGGCATGGCCCCCAATAAAATTTTATACGGAGAAATTATTAAGGAACAAAAGGAGTTAATCTAAAGGATGCCCCCATTCAAAAAAATTGGTGCCGCGATTTAATTTTTTGCAAATACGGAGTATTATAAGAATAAAGTCCCTATGTAAAAAAAATAAGACAAATCATGTCTATCGATTAAACCTCCTTCCTCCATATTATCTTTTTTCTCTTTCTAATTCCTTAGTAGGCACGTCACAGCTCCAAACACAAGCTGCACGACTCACCCCACACCCTAAAAGTATCATGTTTTCCCATTCTTTGTAGAAAATTTATGTATAAATTATTATTAATAATAACATGTTATTGTTGTAATTACATATTAATTATTGTTATTTTAAAGACTTAACTGTATGACTTTGGAAGTGTTTTAATATGGTTTTGTCTTGAAAGTGAGAGAAATTGTATAAATGGAAATGTTCATTTCTTATTGTTTAGGCTTCTAACTTTATGCAGCATATAATAATTAGTTGAACTTAAACTTGTTTGCTTTTCGGTCAAGTGTTGTTCAAATTTTGAATACAATGTAAGACTTTCATTTAATTACTTGAATGGTTGTTAAAATGAAATTGATCAATTCTTTTTTGTCATTTCACAATGCATTAAAAAAAAAACAGTCCGGGGGTGTTGCCCCCGACCCTGTGATGTCCCTGCCCCTGCCCCTACTTGCTCAAGGTGCCACGATTAAATTTCATAGTGGATCCACATTTGTCTACGAGTTTATTTCAAGACTAATCTTATGAAACTATTTTTTGAAATTAGTTTTCTTTTCTTTTTTAGTTAATTAACTGTCAAAGTTTGCAAATTTCGACTTAAAAATTAAACCAGACAACCACATCGGAACAGAGACTAGTTGCTAACAAGAAAATGTTAAGATTATACTTATTAATGTACCACTCTTTTCCTTTTGTTTGTCCGAAGAAAGAAAAAGTGTGCAAACCTCATAATGAAATCAGTTATTGTTGTAATTAAGAACAAAAACACGCACTACTGAATAATTAATAATGATGTTTACAGCACCATCTCCTTTTAGCTTAGGTGCTGCCTTTACAAATTGCTAGTTTTTACTATCTTATGAGTTATGAGCCAAAATAAATACTCCGAAAATGTTTTACCCTTCACAAATACAGTAAAAATGAATTAAAAGTTCTACTGCTCAAAAGGTTTTAATTTTTTGAGAAAAATTAGACTGATTTTTTACTGGTTCTCTGTAATTGTGACACATCCATACCTAAAGATTTTGACTTAATAATTTCAGGTCATCAAATATCAATAAAATTTTACGGAGTAACTTTCAGATCAGGGGTTTTACCCCCCCCCCCCCTCCAAAGAACTTTTAATATACTCTGCAAAGCAAGAATATGACAGTCAACACAAGAATATTCAGCAAGAAAGAATATTTTTTACCTTTCTTGGCCGACCAGGTGGCCTTCCGCTAAGCTTCCGGTATTTATTATACCCACCAGCAGTATAAGAAGACCTTGGGGGTCGTCCTCTTGGCCTTGGAGGCAGTGGCGCCATCCCTCCTTCCGAACTTGAAGCAGGTAGCTGGATGGATGATCGTGGAGGCCTTCCTCTCCGTTTTGGCATGGACGGCAACACCCCACCATTTGAGGCACCCGGTGCTGCAAAGGGTGGTGCTGCATAGGTGGTGGTGGTAGTGGTGGTGGCCGCATTGCCATTAGTATAATTAATGGGGACATTGATTGCCAGTCCCTCAGTAGCAATACCAAAATGAGGAGCATTCTTTTTCGGGCGTCCGCGTGGCCTCCCAGAACCACCAACCTTCTTAGCAATTGCAGCACTAGGTGGCCCCGTCGCAGCAGAGTTGAGGTTCTTCTTTGGTCTGCCCCTTGGCAGACCTGATCTGCCCTTTGTCCTCACTGAAGATGTGGCCAATCCTCCCTTAGGAGGGCGTCCGGGGCCCCTCTTTAGCAAGGGTGCCAGAGGTTGATGTGCAGGGGATTTATCTTCAGAACCGATCTTCCTTGGACGACCAGGGCCCCTCTTTTGTGGCAGTGGAGGAGCATCAACCAGACCTAGAGAAGCAAACACAGATTCAGGCTCCATTCCGGTAACATTTTGGGAATCCTGGACAGGAAATGGCGGCTGGACCTCGAACTGGGATTCCGGGTGAAACTGTGGTGGACCCGGGTCCTGAAGCTGGAACTGGCTCTGGGTGATGGGGTCAGGCTGAAACTGGAAAAGAGGATCCTGGTGAAATTCCATCTCCGGCTGATACTCCGGCAGCTGGGAATCTTGCGGCTGCAGCTGAGTCTCAGGCTTGAGCTTGGGAGGACGTCCCGGCCTCCTCTTAGTGCCAGCAACCGGAGCCCCATTTCCTTCCATCTCCATCTGCAGTGGCTGTTGTTCCAGCTGCTGAGTGGGAGATCTGGGGAGCTGATAGGAGTGCTTCACCATGACCAACTGGCCCGCGTTCTTCATCTGCTTCAGGTGCTGAGTCAACAAGGCCGAGTGAGTGGGCGGAAGGTCCGAGTACGATTGCTCTATGTACCTAGAAATCGATTGCTTGCTCGAGCCGTTAGTCTCCTTCAAGGCCGCAACTGCCGCCATAATCATCTGCACAGCCCAACCAACAAACCGCAGTTAATCCAAATCCGGAAACAGCAAAATAGGAAAGTTTACTTAGCAAAACAAGACAGCTACGGAGAGCAAAAAGAAAATCGAAGTCAACAAACCTCGGCGTAAGGAGGATGGTTGTGGGCGGGAGTAGGGTTAGCGGCTTCAGCTGAGCGAGCAGGCTCCGGCAGCTCGACGGTTTCCAGCGGCGGAGGAGACGGCGGCGGCGGCGGCATGAGTGAGTCCATAGGCGTGCATGTAAAAGCGAGGAGAAACAGGGGGGGGAGCTGAAATCGAATCTGGAAAATTGGGATTTTAGGGATTTGGGAAGAGAAGAGAGAGATAGAGAAATGTAGAGAGAGAAATGTAGAGGGAGAAAGAAAAAGAATTGGACCGTTGGGAGATGACAAAGGACAGGGTGAGCTGAAAACGGATGGGATAAGAGCCACTTTTTTTAATGAGTAATTTACTTAAATAAGACTAAAACATAATGACTTTCCTAAAATAGGACCATATGTTTTTATTTCCGAATGTAGGACCTTTGGTCATTATTCTTTAGTCATTATTCAAGTAATGTCTATCATTGCTGGGCATTATTCCTTCCACGAAGACATTATTAAGTCCTATTTAGGGAATAAAAAAGTTTAAGTCCTAAATTAGGAAAGTCATTATGTTTTGGTCTTATTTAGTGCAAATTTCACTTTTTTTATATAGGTTTATATGCAGTCCCATTTAATTCATGCCCGGTTCTTTTTGTTTTTTTTACCCCAAGTAACATGAGAGTCAAATTTAGGATTTCATCCCTTCAAAATCGAATTAGATCGAATTAAACAAAATCACGGTCGAATTAGATCGAATTAAACAAAATTACGGTCGAATCTGGGCCTACTAAGGTGCTTCGTTCGTAAAATTGAGGGTTCCTACTCTGCCTAACTCCCGATAAATCTTCTCATCCCGCCCCGACCTGAACACACCCCTCAAACCGCCCCGACACAATACTCCTGCCTGACTGTATACCACCATGTGGCTTGTGGATCACCATGCCACATCCTCCCCATTGTCATGCTCAGTAAAATACTACGAAATTTCATGATTTGTCGTGTACGAACTTGTCTGTCTAGTTCATTTAAATAAACAAACGAATTGGAACGATAGAATTACACAATTATTTATAAGTTCTTTATTGAATAGAAAAATTTTATGTTATTTTTTTTAAATAAATTATATCTTATTGATAACATTTAAATTTAGGAATAACAACATCACTATGACTAAAATATGTTTCATACACCAAAATATGACTTTTAACATGCTTATACTACAAAAAGACTAATAATGTCAAAGAATGTCATTATAATATCAAAAAGTACTGCTAAATGTCAAAATATAATGACCAAATTTATAACATACCACCTTAAATACAGAAACTTATAAATTCTTTTTTCCAAATTATTTTTTTCTTACGTGTTTATTTTAATAATTATTTAATTGAGTAATTTATTTTATACTTTAATATGATAATATCCCAACAGTTTCCAACTCCTCGTTTTTCCAACTTCTTTCAATTTCTTCCAACTCTTAATTTTTTCCAAGTTTTTCAAAGTTGCTCCAACATTCAACTCGATTTTCACAATCCAAACGAACATAGCCAAATGCATTTCAATATCAATGCTAGGGGAGTAACGAGTGTGACATCATTGATTAAATACAAAAGTACTCATGTAAAATTGCACAATTCTAATAATGGTGTTAGTGTCTCTCTTAACTTGAATGATAGGAAGCCCACATCCCAAAAGTTTGGAAAGAATAATGCTAGAGTCACAAATAAAAAACTCATAAAATTCACAATTTTACTTTTTGTGCATTTAAGTATTTATTTTTTTTATTATTCGAAACCATTATTTGACACCTTTATTTAACATAATTGGCAAGATTGTGAATTTTGTGATTGTTTAGTTTGTGACTCTAGCATTACTCGTTTGGAAAACTCAAACCATGTTCGAAGTCAAGTAAATGTGCATTCAATGACTCATTATGCATCATTAGGTTTAGAAAAAACATGAACAAATAATACATCTTAATCGTGTGAAATGCACTTAAAAAATAAGTGAAGAAGCAAGTACGAAGCATGTGTTTCAACTCTTACTCTCTCCGTCGAGAAATTTGTTTTCCATTTGATTTTTCTTGATCAAAGTTTATAAATTTTAATTTCGATATTCAGAAAAATTCATTCTGCTATGATATAAATGTAACATTGATAGTTTTTTTAAATATAGTTTTCAAATACAATTTTTTTTTATAAAACATGTCTACTTATAAACATTGATATTAATAATTAAAGTGTTATATTAGAGACAATGAAAAGTCGAATGAGAAAAAAAATTGATGGGGATGAGTAGGGCTGTAGACGGATAATATCCGCGAAGGATATGACGTATCCGAATCCGATTAAGTTTTAGATATCCGAATATGTATCCATATCCGACGGATATTTATATTTTTATATTTGAATCTGTAACTGACGGATAATTCTCGACATCGGATATATCTGAATCCGATTACATATCCGAACCCAACCAAATATCAATATTTTCAAACCTGAAAACAAACATGTAAGTTGGCGGAGAGGGATTCGAACCCAACACCTTCAAACTTAAAATTCAAAGTTGTACCAATATGGCCTAAATCAAACGCTTAGTATTTGTAAACAATACATAATATATATTTGTTTCTTAATACATTCTGTGTTCTTATTTTTTTAACAAAGTAATCCACATTTAACTCGAATGTTTTGTATTTTTTATTTAAATAAACTTCGTATTATTTATATTTATAGGAATACTTGTGTTAGGTGATAATATTTTATTATATTTAAAAGTAGCTCAAATAACTTAGTAATTTTTTTAGAGTAAATTCCATAATTGGTTCTTTATAACAGGGGGGTTTCCATATTTAGTCCTCTGTTATCAAATATTACCTCCCTAGTCCTTTTTTTATGGGTGCCTTTCCACAAATGGTCTTTTTTTGATCTTCTGTCATGTTGGTGTTAATTTTAAGGCTAAAAATATAATTTGACATCAACATTATGTCTAGTGACGTGTTCTGATATTGGTTAAGTTGATAACACAAAAATAATGACTATGATTGTGGGCTAGGATTCCGACGAAAGACCACATTTATAGACTATGGTTGTAGTAGAAAACGACTGTAATTCACAAACGACGCAATCGGAACAGTCTTTGGATTTGTGTATGACAAAAAAGATATATTATCATTGTGAAATTACACTTTTAGCCTTCAAATTAACACCAACATGATAGAAGATCAAAAAAAGGACTATCTGTGGAAAGATACACACAAAAGAAGGACCACTAGGATAATATTTGATAATAGAGGACTAAATAGGGAAATCCCCCATGTTATAAAGGACCAATTATGGAATTTTCATTTTTTTATTTAAACATAAATATGAATATTTTATACCAAGCTATGGGTCGTTGACCCGAGAAAACTTGGTTCGACCGATTGACCCTTGACCCAGTTGGTAGTTCGGCTCGACTTCCGATCCAAGTTTACGAACATTGCCGAATATCTGAAAGTGTTAATAAAAAATCTAGATGATTATAAAAAGAAAACAGAAGTGTCTAAATAGTACTACCTCCGTAATACGTAAAAAAAACTACTGTCTAAATAGTACTACCTCCGTCCCAGAGTATTTGTCTACTTTCATTTTTACACACCATCCAATATACTTCTTTAATCCATTTTATCTTGTAATTTGTATATTAAAAAATTATAGAAATTATATATTAATAATCTATATGTTAAGACAAATCAAACAAGATCACACATGACTATATTCAGGCTTACACATTGAGAGAATTTGATGAGTCAAAGTGCTTAGATAAACAGTTCCAAAAGTCAAAAGTGGACGAATACTCCGGGACAGAGGGATTAAATACTTAATCAAAACAAATGATTTGAAAAAAATTACAATCAACCAAGTACTTTATTGAAGTAATGGTAAGACAACTAAGATTAGAGATTTAGATGGTAAGGTATATTTTTAGTATATGGGCCATGTATAAATATATAATGGTCTAGGTAGAAGACTATATTTATTAAAATAGTTTTAATTTAGTATTCAGATAAACAGATAAAATGTTATTTAAACGGATGTATATGTAGATCAGATTTTAAACAAATTGGATATATAATTACCAAATCCGTATCCATTTAGTAATCGAATACGGATAATATTCATTTAAAACGGATGCGGAATATTCTTGTTTAAACGATACGGATGCGGATGATAATCGAATTTTTGGTTATTCACTGACATCTCTAAAAAGGAGTACTTCCATGTTCTTTTCACTTGATCTTATTGGGTTTGAAACTTTGAATGAATGAAATAAGTTATAATTCGATCTGATTCCAATTAAAATAAGTTGAGAGTAATAAATAAAATTGAGAATAACATAGCCTAATAGATGTTGCGCGCCACCAAATGTCCAACTCATCTAATTTTCCTTTTATTACTCGTACGATTTTAAAGTCAAAGCCATCATTTCATTTTTCTCAATTAACCAAACTACAATAATGTCCCAATCTTCTTCTACCACTTTCTTCTTCTCCATCTTCCTCACTTTCCATTTACTCGCCAAAGCACCCATCTCCATGGCCAATTCGGGTTTACCCGATCCGAAACCGGATCCTGTTCAGACCCAGTCATTCTTACCCGCCACCGCCACATCAACGATCCCAGCGTTCCCGGAGCAGAGTGACGCCGGCACCTGCCCGCTGGACCTCCCGGAGGATCTCTTCCGCGGGATCCGATCAGCCTGCGGGTCGGGCCGTCTCCGGAGGATCCGGTGCTGCCCGGTTCTCGAAGCCTGGCTCTACTCCGCGTACTCAACAACCGCCCTCCGCCGGGCCAAGGCAAAGCCTCCGACGGCGCTCGACATGCCCGTCCTCCCGGACGACTCCGAGACCTGCGTCAGATCTCTCGAGAACGCCCTCGCGGCGAGAGGGATTGAATTGGCGAAACCTAACCAGAGCTGCGATGTGCTGTACTGTTACTGCGGGATTCGCCTCCACCATTTCAGCTGCCCGGAAGCTTTCTCCGTGAATTCACGCGGGGAACTGGTTGGGGATGAGAGGGTGAAGAGGCTGGAAAGAGATTGCTTGAGCGGTGGTTCTGCGAGGGGACATTCCGGCGCCGCCGGCTGCTCCAACTGCCTGAATAGTTTGTACATGGTATGTTTGCTTACTCCAAACTGTTGGCCTTATAGTCTTCTCTTTGGATCCAAAACTGTTGAAATCTGGACAATGTGACACAGCTGAATCAATGTAGCTAATTATGGAATGTGACCTGTTCGGATTAGATGGTCATCATAAACAACAACAACATTACCCTAGTGCCTCAAAGGGTCCCGCCCATTGTGGGGTAAGAAGGGTTCGGATGTACGCATTCTGACCCCTATGTTAAAACATGTAGTGACTGTTTCTAGATGACCCATGATTAGCGTGAAACGTTGTATTGACTAATTGTTAATCCACTATCAAGAGAAGCAGAACTAGTTTAAGAACCATTTTGCTTTTTTTTCCATCTTACTCCAAAGATAAAGTCACACATTGCACAACACTCATGCTAAGAACGACTAGTATATACGAATACTAGTTCCTCCTCCCTCCTATCGTCAATTGTTTTTGGGACGAAATTTCACAGTTCTAATGATATATCATAGTCAAGGGCAAAAAAAGACCGAAATTGCACATGAGGGTACATTGAGGATATAAAGTTCCACATCGAACACTCACGTTAAAAGCGACTAATTCATAAGAACAAGAGTTCTTCATCTCATTACCGATTACTTTTTGGACGAAATTTCATAATTTCCACATCATATGCATAAACTACTCTCTTCAACTATGGCTTTAAAACTCTCACATCCCCAAAAAATGCAGGTTAGCTCTACTACTACTACTACTATGAAGTATGGAGCCAGCAACCGATCGGATGTGGAGAGGGGGAACAAAATGCGCGCCAGAGATTGCCGGGTGATGGGTCTAACATGGCTTTTGAACAAAAACCAGAGTGCTTATATTCCCACAGTCACCTCAGTTCTGAGGGCTCTCATGGTGAGCGCCGATCCCCTGTCGTGCACCCTAGACCACGACGGTATGCCTCTCGCGGTCGACTCCTCCGAACTCGGCGATCAATCTTCGTCCACCGCTCCCCATTTCCCCACTGGTTTTGCTCTGTTTTTTCTGACTTTTGTGTTGTACTACCTCCGTCCCACTGTCTTTGTCCACATTTGACTTTATGAACTGTTCATCTAAGCACTTTGACTAATCAAATTCTTTCAATGTGTAAGCCTAAAAATAGTCATGTGTGATCTTGTTTGATTCGTCTTAACATATAGACTATTAAGATATAATTTCTATAATTTTTTAATATACAAATTACAAGATAAAATGGATTAAAGAAGTGCATTGGATGGTGTGCCAAAAGGTAAGTGGACAAAGACAGTGGGACGGAGGGAGTATGTGATTTGTAAAGCATACTATACCACAATGTGAAAGTGAATATTCTTTACTCTTTATTGATTTTTTTTCCTCTTCTTCTTGTGATGTTGTAATCTTCTAAGGTTTACTGAGCACTATGCTAATTCAATATATTCATGAATTACTTATTACTTGTTTTTATTGGAATCAGATTAGTTATTGATATAATGCGATAGCCTGATCGGATTCAAGCGAAATATTGTAAAGTGACAGGTGGGGTAAATATAACATATTGGCATGGATGAAAAGTAAAACATGAAAGGTTTTTATGGACGTAGGGAGTAAACATTAAATTGCACCCCAGAAACAATTATGATACTTCGTATTCCATACTCCATATATAATTTGTGAAATACAATATTAAAATCATTTTAAATCATAAATCACATTAATTTTTATAACTTGATCGAGTTTAGATTATTTAGGTCAATTACGAGCGGTATCAATCTCTAAACGCGACTCGACCTTCATAGTCTGGTCATATCCAAGCAAAGTATTGTAAAGTGACCTAGAGTTTGTTCTCTTTAACTTATTTTTATTACTTATTCTCTCGCTATAAAAAGACTGTTGTTTTTCTTTTTGGCAAATTTTGTATGGCCCAACATCTTTTTTTCTCTTTTGGATCACTTTCAATCACACAATTTCATTTTTCTTAAACTTTGTGTCAACCCAACTCAAAAGTTTTTTTGGGACGGAAAGGGTATTATTTATTTTTAGTAGAATCAGATTAGACTAGATAAAAAACAGTTTTAAATATTCCATATAATTATGATTAATCAGACTACATCAGAACCTATTCTAATCAGATCAGAATAAATTTGTAAAGATCGGTTCGGACTAGACTCGGGTTGGTTGAAAAAATAGAAAGAAAATAAAAAATGACATGGCTTTTGGGCAGACCACTAACCAGATAACACGTGGGCGTTGCAGAGTACATTTTCCCATGGTGTCTCCTTCTTCTTCGACTTACTTCATTTTTCCTGGTTCTCAGAAGAAGCATTATGAAGATTCCATTTTTCGTTTCAGTCAGATAAGAAGAAGTTCCCGCCTTTCTCGGGTATGCAAAACATGTTGGCGCAGCTGAAGGAGACGTACGTTTGCGTCCCCTCGACGGAGCGCGGCCGGGGCATCCTCATCTCCGGCGACGCGAAGTCCAACTCCATCCTCTACTGCAACGGCCGATCCGTCATCATCCGGTACCTCGATCGCCCCCTCGAGGTCGCTGTCTACGCGGAGCACGCTTACCCGACCACCGTCGCCAGATACTCTCCCAACGGCGAGTGGATCGCCTCTGCCGACGTCTCCGGCACCGTCCGGATCTGGGGCACTCACAACGATTTCGTTCTCAAGAACGAGTTCCGCGTCCTGTCTGGCCGGATCGACGATCTCCAGTGGTCGCCTGATGGGATGCGCATTGTAGCCTCCGGCGATGGAAAGGGGAAATCCCTAGTTCGCGCATTCATGTGAGTTCGGTAGCTACCCAATTTTGGATTTCTAATCATTTCTGGAACTTCTATTTCGAACAATTGTATCTTCAATGGATGATTTTTTTTGTTTTTCAGTTTTCTCCTCCTTTTTTTGTTTTGCACTTAATCTGATTGCAATCTCATTTCGGAAATCATTTACTCCCTATCATACAACAAACAAGGAGCCTAAATGCAGAATTTTATTTTATTTTATTTTACTCCGTATTATTTTTCATAATCTGGTGGATTAGCTCTTGAATCTGTAAGACTGTAACAAATGCAGTAACAATGCTGCAATTGCTATGGCGTTTGCAGGTGGGATTCAGGTTCGAATGTTGGAGAATTTGATGGCCACTCAAAGAGAGTTTTGAGCTGTGCATTTAAGCCGACAAGACCTTTCCGCATTGCAACATGTGGAGAGGACTTTTTGGTGAACTTTTATGAAGGACCCCCTTTTAAGTTCAAGCTATCTCACAGGTTTCTTTATTATACAGTTCTTCTTTTTTTATAATTATAATAAATTATCTTTATTTTTTCTTTTTTTTCCTTCCCAAAATTATTTATTGGATGTTGTTGTTTGGGGGAGTATAAATGCATCTACCCTTACCCTTATTAATAATGTGTTACGACTTCGATTCTCTTTCGTATATTCTTGTATGGACCTAAGGTCCATATAAGAAACACGGACTTTTTCTAATAAGCACTTAATTATTGCATAATTATATAGATATGCATTTATTTATTTTTTATTTTTAAATAAGTTAATTTGCTTGTTTGAGAAGGTCCATGGTGGACTTTAGGTCCATGATGGGAGATTGGGAGCATTCTTCTTAGAAACTATGAATTCTTTCATAGATTCTACCTTTTGCTCTTAAAAAAAGATTCTACCTTTTCTATCTCAGCATATGGAATATTAAAGCATTTTATGATCTCACCATATGTAATATTAAAGCATTGTATCTGGTTCTGTACAATGTTTATGACAAACTGAGGCACTTAGGTCTTGCTTTTTCTTTTCTTGTTTGATATCTCATGAGTTTTGTTGGAATGATAAATTAAATCCCTTGAGGCTTGACTAAGAACTTCTTTTTACAGTTAAACCTGGATGTCAGTAGGCAAAATAGGTGTTGGCATAAACCAAAACATTTATAGTCCAATATTCGTCTTTAACATTTATCAATAATGTGAAGTAGATCAGATTGCATTGAACACATTATATTCCAGCTTCTCATTTTAGGGCAAAACACTTGGATAGATATACAAGTATACCTATAGTGATTAATAAAAGAGGGGGGGGGGGGGTGAAGGAGGTAGAAAGAGACTTTCTATGAGTTTTTCTCATGATCTAAATTTGAATCAAACATAAGGGGATTTTTGTTACCTCTATTGACTCTATGACTATTACATTAATTTTTTACTCCAAGACCACCCTACCATTGTTTCTAGCAACGAGCTAGTATGATTGCACTCAAGCTGAAATTTCTTTTTGCATGCAACTTGAACATAATAATTAGGATGTTTTAACCTGCAGGCATCATTCTAATTTTGTAAACTGCTTGCGGTTCTCCCCAGATGGTAACAAATTAATAAGTGTCAGTTCTGACAAGAAGGGTGTACTTTATGATGCCAAAACAGGAGATAAAATTGGAGAGCTATCTTCAGAGGGAGGCCATCAAGGTAGTATATATGCTGTGAGTTGGAGTCCTGATAGTAAACAGGTAGTTCTGTCTCTCTGCCCCAAACTTTTTGGTTGTTTATTTCTCATTATTTTTCTATTGTATTATTCTAATAGCTCGTTTGGTAACTAAGTGGGGAGTATATGGGGGAAAATAGTATTTATTCCTTAAGGGAATAATATATATATATATATATATATATATATATATATATATATATGGCATAGAGAATGAAAAAGAAAATTCATTGTTTGATTGGTAGAAAAAATGGCAATGAATATTCATTTGCTTTGTTAACTTTGGAGTGGTTAATGAATAAGCAGTATAATCATCAAATCATCCCTATAAATATATACTCGTACTTTTCTTAAATAATTATGCATAGCTTATAAGGGTATATTAATTTGCATATGCTTCCTTCTCCACAAGGAAGAAATTATGCCTAAGGATTAAGAAATGGTGGGATTACTTTTTCTTTAAATTTATAAAATAAGTATTCCAAACAGACAAATTTGTAACCTACCAAAAGAGCTACAAGTAGATGAGGAAATGAAATGTTTCAATCTCCAACAAAACGACTTGTAGTTTCCTTGTCTTAAAATACGGATGCATTTGTTCTCTTGAACTGTGACTACTCAGCTTTAGGAGAACGATGATAATCTTTTAAAAGACACTACTATGCTTCCTTGCTGCTTGGAAAAATTGTCCAAGTGCATATACTCACTCCGTTCCTAATGTATGGAAGCCAAAACGAAGCAAAATCCCAAATTTTTTCACTTCAACAACAACAACAACAACCCAGTTGAATCCCACTAAAGTAGGGTCTGGGGAGGGTGTGTGTACGCAGACCTTGCCCCTACTCGAAAGTAGGGAGGCTGTTAAATTTTTTGACTTCATTTTATTTAAAAATTGGTATAAAAATAAAATAATAAAACTTGCATATTTAAAAACTACGTCAAAAGTTTTACAAAACTAGAGGTGACAAGAATATTTTATTTTATCAAATAATCAATGAAAACACAAATAAACAGAAGTTATTGTAATTTTGGAATAGTGCACTCTGCAATCCATATATGGACGGAGGGAGTATTTTATTCCAATGACTTCTCATTTTCCATGAATTAATAAAAAAAGTGAAACTGAGAGCATCTAACTCATGGTTCCCTGATTTCTTTTGATTGAATATTGGTAGGTCTACTTTGGTAAGATGTAATGAAGTATAATATACCCCCTAAGTCCCAAAAAAGAGTTTTTGTTGGCCAAGAAGCAACTTTTAAAATTTGGAAGGGTACCATTGTCACAAGTCATAACTAAAACCTATCATTCTTAACATGCTTGTATCTTTTTTTACTTTGGAAATTTACATGAAAATTTAGTTTAGTTTGATGAAATAGAACTCTTCTTTTTGGTCAGAAGATGTTTTGAAGCAAAACTTTTTTTTGGGACAGAAAATGTATAATGCAATCAAGTGTAAGGGTAATGTAAATTTACACATATTATATACTATTGAATCCATCCAAGAAAGAGTCCTCTATGTGACCCTTAGGTCAACACTCAACAATACAAAATTACAAACAAAATTTTGTGTGACAGATGGAGCATCTGAGTGCATTGCATGCCTAACTGCCCCCTTAATGCTTCTTCTATTGGTTCTTAGTGATCCAGACTTGTGCATGTTTTGACAATTTCAGGTGCTTACTGTATCAGCAGACAAATCTGCCAAAATATGGGACATATCTGATGATGGAAACGGGACTGTGAAGAAAACATTAGCATGTTCTGGTTCGGGTGGAGTTGAGGACATGCTAGTTGGGTGTCTATGGCAGAATGATCATCTTGTAACTGTTTCTCTTGGTGGCACTATTTCAATATTCTCTGCAACTGATCTGGATAAAGAGCCTATTTCTTTCTCTGGGCACATGAAGAACGCCAATTCATTAACAGTGCTGAAAAGTGAGCCGAACATTATTTTATCTAGCAGCTTTGATGGTTTGATTGTGAAATGGGTTCAAGGTGTTGGCTACTGTGGAAAACTAGAGAGGAAGGCTAATTCTCAAATCAAATACTTGGCTGCTGTTGATGGAGAAATCGTTTCATTTGCATTTGACAACAAAGTGAGTAGTGCTCTTCACTCTCCTTTATGTACTATGAAAATTTGGTCTGTTTTCAGTTTACTTCTATTCTTTCTGGGTAGTATTAGCTGACTTTATAGTTTTACATGTGAAGGATTTCCTAATCAATCAGATTTCTGTTTTTTAGATTCAAATTACATCTGCCATTCTTGGTCAAATCACCCAATGATCTTCAAAGTTTCTGAAAGTATAGACATGCTCATTGACAAGTCAAATTGGGGTTTCCGTACTAAAGTTCCCTCAAAATGTGTCATGAAGATTCTTTTTAAGAGAACCCTGCAAATGTTTGTCCTAAAATATGCAATTAACTATGCCAAATTCAATATGAAGACGCACATCACACAATTCTTGTTGATATCATTATATTCTATATTCGTTCAGTGTTAAGAAAAAGAATTGTTTATACAAAATCTGATTGGGGAAGGATTTCTTTAAAGAAATTTCAAGGGTTATTTTATTTGTCAGTTTGGCAAAACCTTGATGGAGGTAGTTGCAATTATTTCCTTATTTGTTTGCCTGTTTCCAACAGAACACTAATGTTATGCACAGAACTCAGAAAGTGGCTGGGAAAAGGGGAAATGCCAAGAAAAAGGCTAAGTAGAATCAAATGTGATATGAAGTTTTAGATTTTACATGTATTTAGATCTGTTAGTCTTTAATACTTTATATCAAAAGAAATCTACGCACAAAAAGAGTTTGGACAAATATCTAAAATTGAATGATCGAGTTCAAACCATTTTTTAATTAAAATTCCTTTCACTACTTTTCTTCCATATGTCATTTCTACTTTCTGTCTTATTTTATTTTTCCTATCATTTTCTGTCTTCTAAATGAACATTAACATTATGCTCCTTATTGCAAAACATTATTTGGCTTCTACACGGTTATCAGATATGGAGAGCATCTCTACGTGGAGATCAATGCGCCAGTGAAGAAACTGTTGACATCGGAAATCAACCTAAAGACTTGACCCTTGCTCTTCACTCACCCGAGCTGGCTTTAGTTGCCATTGAAACGGGAGTTGTTATCCTTAAAGGGACCCATGTGGTTTCAACGATCAACCTTGGATTCCCAGTGGCGGCATGTGCAATTTCACCCGATGGAACTGAAGCCATAGTTGGTGCTCAGAATGGGAAACTGCATTTATATTCAGTAGCTGGTGATACTCTCAATGAAGAGGCTGTCCTTGAGAAACACAGGGGAGCTATCACTGTCATTCGTTACTCTCCAGATTTGTCCATGTTTGCCTCGGGTGATGTCAATCGAGAGGCTGTTGTCTGGGATCGTGCTTCTCGTGAGGTAACTCAGAGCTCCTTTGCTAATGCTTAAAATGGCTGATTATGCTGAATTTGCTGCAATTGTGGTTTACACACACAAAACAAAGTAAAGATTATGCATCAATCTCAAACAGTTTAGCCAAAGTCTCTTGTCAAAAAAATCCATGATAAGCTGATTTAGCCATGAATTAAGTTACTGTTTGGTGAAATAATTAGCTGATAAGCAAAAATGAAGCTACCAAACTTTGATTGAAATAGTTGAAGTTGCCTAAACTGTGGTTGAAATCTTAGAAATTGCTTAATTGGTCGAATTGGCTTAAAATGTTATAACTTGAAGATAATATCTAAAATATAAGGATAGAAGTGCCATCTTCATATCAACCATCTCAGGAAAAAAATGAATTTTTTTGCACTATTTTCCCTGTGTAATGAGCATATGTCCGTGGGAGAACCATGCCCAAAGCATACTAGTGTATGCTTGGATCATGGTTGTGTAAAAGGAAAAAGTGCTAAAAAGTTACTCTGTATTTTCCTGTGTTTGGCTTTCCCTTCTACTTTCTGGGTTCCAATCGGATTCCTTATGTAGTAAAATACTCATACGTTGGTGCCTATTTGATTAAAAAAACATTGTTGATAAATCAAACAGGCACTAACCTTTATTTCTAGACTTCAGAAGTGTGTGCATTACATCATTTAAAAAATTGAAGATGTTATTGTGTTCCAGGTGAAGGTGAAGAACATGCTATACCATACTGCCCGGATAAATTGCTTGGCATGGTCCCCGGACAATACTCGGGTAGCAACCGGATCACTAGATACCTGTGTCATCATATATGACATCAACAAACCCGCATCGGATAGAACAACAATCAAGGGAGCTCATTTGGGAGGAGTTTACGGATTAGCTTTCTTGGATGACCACAACATCGCGAGCTCTGGTGAAGATGCGTGTGTCCGGGTATGGACCCTAACCCCACAGTGACCACGATTACGGTTTGTTTGCTGCTTGCAATGGTTTCTCAAGTATAATAATAATAACCATATCAATTTTTTTTTTTTTTTTTGGGTTTCAACTGTCAACTTCATCTACCTGTCTCTCCAGGCTTGATCAAATTATGGTGTCTAAGAAATTACAAACTCTCTGTCACATTTTTCACAGTGACAGGAATGCATCTTTTTCAGATTGATTTGGGTTGCATTACCTGTGCAACCCATCCATCTTTATTTATGTTCATGGCTTGAAATATTAACATTACATTTACAGGCTTTGGGGTTGGTTATTTAGAAGAATTTTTCCTGTTTTGATCCCATGATGTGCAAGGGTTAATGCTCTTTTGTCTTGGGTTTTGTTTCAATGTATTTATCCTCATTTTTCTTAATTTTTATCGTATTTTCAATGTTTTGAAAAAGTTGTTTAATGTTTCCCACCATCTAAACATCAATTTTGCACTTTTTATTTTTGGATAGTTGGATTACATTATCAAGTTCACAATTTTTATAACTTCGTTTTCGGGAAATAAATATATGGACAATTGAATCCCTATTTCTTTCAAATAAATTTAAACTACATATGTTTCGCCTTGCACTAAGGTCTTCATAATGTATGTGAAGTTAAAGTGTCAAATAAATTCAGAGAGGGGAGTAATTTATTACTACAGAAACAAACAAGCTCTGGTTTGGGAAAATGTTTTCAATTAATGGTATTAACATTTTGAATAATTCTATAATGGTGTAGATCTTGGTGTTTTTAACACTATTGGTTATTTTGTGTAATTGAGTTTACTAAATGAATTAGGAGGTGCAGAGTGCACACTCGTTCAACAGTATTACAAATTCATAGCGAGGTCCAAGGGGTAGAGTCTTTGGCTGGGGTGGAAATTTTTTTATTTTAGACATTATTCCCTTTTGAAATTCTTTCACGTTTTTGTGAACAGAGTCTAAAATATTTAAAAACTGAACGTATGGATATACGTCTAAAATTGGCCCAAAATTGCAAGCAACTATTCATGCGAAAGCTTCTTTACGCGAACGAACATGTCTGCACATGTGTTTTCCGTTTCTATAAATACAAATATGTGGGAACGGTTGAAATATCAATTTTCAGTGTGTGTTCTTGAATTAACGTTTTATCCAATTAAATATTTTAGTATATCCCAAAATAACTTTGTTATAAGCTATGAAATCGTTCTTCATTCACCAGATTCCTTAACGCTACTTCGCAGTTTTATTGTTCCTCCATATAAAAATTCTACAGGCTACACTAGATTAGCATTGAAAATACCAAATTTGAATGTTGTCATTAGATAGATTTTCAAAATGTTAAATTTAAACATTGAAATTATTGCCGGATGAACAATAAAAAAATTGGTTTGCTTGTATTAAAGAAAATGATGAGCTGCCTCAAAACCAATCGGATAATCACTTAGAAGGAGATAAATTGAACTTAAATCACAAAGTAATTGGTAAAAAGCGGAGCTTGCGCTTGGTATTTGTAAAGACTTTACAATTAGTATAGTTGTTTTTTAGTATAGTTGCCAAAAACCGAAATTGACTTTATCCTATTTGATACTCATTAGTGAATTGCTCAATCAACTATGACCTGTTTGGCATCAACATTATAAGTCAACTTTAACGTTCTAACAATAGTCTTTAACATTAGTATTTTTAAAAATAGTCTACATCATTAAAATTTTATCCAAAAGGTTAAAACTAATTACTTCCTCCGTCCCCATAGATTTTTCCAATAGCTCTTTTTCTTTGTTCACAATAGATCTTCTCATTTCATTTTTTAACAATTAAAATATCACAACTACCTCCACTTACTTTATTTATTATACCTCACCCACATCATTTAATACACTCCACCTATTTTCATTAGGGGTATTATGGTAAATTTTTACTTTTTTTCAACTCTCCTTAAAACTAACAAAAGTCAAAATAAGAACATAGTATGGGAACGGAGGGAGTAAAAGAAATGAATAGATATGTATGAAGCGACGTTACGTTGATAGGCCGGAAAATAATACGGAGCAAAGCTCTCATTAAAGTGTGTTTATCATGTGTCACTGCACTCCAATGATGAACTGCCCCTACATTTTCACTACTTTTTCCCTTTTAAATATACTTTTTAATTTCTTTTTTCCTTTTTAGCCGATTTTTTTAATTAAAAAAATCTTTACTTTATTATGTTTATTTTTATCTTTACATTTAAATACAATTTTCGTCTTTTTAATTTAGAACCTGAAGATAGATTAATGCTTATTAGATTTGGGATCACGAAAATAAATTTACTCATATGAGATTTATTTTTTTAAAACATACTTATTAGAAATCATAACAAGAACTCCGTGCAATGCAGTATTTGTTCATACTTTCTCGTTCTAATTATTTATTACATAAATAAATAGATGAAAAATAAATAAATACTCCTTCCCAAAGTAAATACTCCTAGAGCAGTGTTTGAATTAGAAAAAATTAAAAGAAAAATGAAATGAGTTGGAAAAAGTTAGAAATTAGAGTCATTCACATTTGGATATTGGGTTGACATAATTAGGTCATGCTTGTGTTTGAAGAAATAACACCTTGTAATTAATAAAGTTTACTTCTATTACTGAGTGGTATTAAATTATACAATTATCTAATAGGGATGAAGTGTTTTATGTCAATATTTTCAAATTTAATATATATTATAAATTAAAAAGATAAATCAAAACGTTAATGTTAATTGAAAAAAATTGTCTAAATAGAGACCAAATAATATACTCCCTCCGTCCCAAAAAGAATGGGACGGTTTGACTTTTTGGGAAATTAAGGGAGGGATATTTTGGTATTGACTTTCCAAAAATACCCTTGATGTGATGGGTAAAAGTAGGATGTGATGGGTAGATTATTAGGAAAAAGGTATGATGTGATAGGTAGGGTATGAAAAAGTAAGGGGTAAAAGTGGTTTTTTAATAGAAATGTAACGAACTTTACGGGACGCAGTTTTTTCTAAATGTAACAAATTTTTTAGGACGGAGGAAGTACCTAAATTGTTTGAGATAAGGATACACAATGTTCAAGACAACACACATCATTTAAACAAAAAACATGATGGTAGCTTGTTGACTCATGTCCATGTGTCCATTATTTTTTCATTGTTAAAACAAACTCTTTTATTTATTATTCATTTCGTCTCAAAATATTTTTCTTATTTTTCTCAACAGTCACAAAATTTTTTATTTATTTATATATTTTGATTGATTATTTAGTAAATTTTGAATAATTTTTCATATAATTTTTTAAACATGTAGATTTTATTTTTTGTTTCTATACCAATATTTAAATTAAATGAATTAATTCTATATTATATTTTATCATGTTTTTTGAAATGTGATAAATATTTAGGGACAGATAGACTATAAGAATACTACTTTGATTTTACAAAGTTTCAGAAAAAAGTTTTAAAGAATTAAAATGTGACAAATTAAATTTATTTTGTATTTGAGAAAAAAAAGCAAAAATCACTTTTTTTGCTCTTCTTGAATTAGTTGTCCATTTTAATTTTCATATTCAATATAAAAAAATAGGATGAATTGTCAAAATATCTTAAAAATAATGTATGAGTAATTGAGTATTGATAACATGAATTTTGAATCATTAAAGCCTAATTGAGTACACACATATATATATATATATTGATATATTGTTGATCAAAATATTATATTGAAGATCGTAAAAAATTAAATGAGAAGTTCTTTTATAAACGGATGGAGAACTTAAATCAAACATTTCATTAAATAATCAATTTTTTGCAATCATTAAATAGTCCTATTAAAACAAGACTTTTGTCTTAATTTTATTTTTTTTCCTTTTTATTTTTGCAAAAGATAAATGCTAGAATTACGAATAAAACAGTTACAAAATTTTATAAATTTATTATAGATTTTGCGACTATTTTATTTAAACTCTAAATATTCTCTTTTGTAAAATTTAGGAGAAAATATGTAACACCTTAATATTCTCTCTGTCCTAAAAACTTTTTTTTCATTTTTATTTGTCCTACAAAATCTTTCTCATTCTTATTAAAAAATTACTTTTACCCTTAGTAATACTTGACCTAAATATCACATCATCTTTTTTATCAATCACATTAAGGGTATTTTTGAAAAGTAAACACAAAAATATCCTTGCATTAAATTTCCTAAAAGTTAGAACATGAACATCTTTTTGAGACAGAAGAAAATTTTTTAGTTCAGAAATTATTTTCAGGTAAAAAAAAAAGAAAATTTTATTTTGAGAGTACTATAAATAGAGAGCACATCTCACATATGTTTTCACTCACATTCTGATACCCATTTCACAGGGTAAAGTATTGTTTTTTTGGTAAATAATTTCTATAATTAATAATTAGAGATAATGACATCAAGAAGAACACCGTTGTTGGTGGCGTTGCTGGTGCTTAGCGCCGCCGCCGTGAGTACGGTTCGAGGCGACGAGAAGGGCGGCGGAGAGCTGAACAGAGACAGTTTTCCGGCGGGGTTCGTGTTCGGGACCGCCTCCTCCGCTTACCAAGTGGAAGGCGCCACCGACGTTCACAAGTATGGGCGTGGGCCTAGTATCTGGGACACCTTCCTCAAAACTCCCGGTAATTAATTACTCTCAGTTAAAGTAATTTTATACCAAAAATGAGGTAAAATTTAAAAATAACCAACATACAAAATAATTAAAAGTCGTACAGGGAGTGCTGTAAAAAAAAAAGATTATTTAATTTTTGATAAAATATACTCGGGTATTTGTGTCACCTCTTAGATTTACACGAATTTTCTTGAATTGGAAAATTATAACAACGTAACCACAATAAAAACTTGTTTTCACATTTACTGAAACGAAAATTACTGCGGCCAAATATTGTTACATGAACAAATTTTGATTAACACTTAAAAAAAATTGCATGGTACTAATAAACAAAAAAAATCATTTCATTAGATTTATAATACAAAAAAAAAATCAAAAACTCATTTCATTGTAATAAATTGTAATTTCATTTTTATTTACTGTTTAAAATTCATCCACTTTATATATATGAAAAAAGCCAAAATTGAATAAAACATTGAGGATGGAAGTATGCCAAATAATTGAAGTGGGGCAGACTGCAGAGAGAGTACTACTAAGTACTAACTATACCATTGCCAACATTGTTCATTAGGGAGAATTTTACTCCGTAATTCCGGCCTAAAATATAATTCAAAAAAGTTAAACAGAATTAATATAGTGTTACTTTTATATTTCTTGCTAATGTTATTGCTGTGCAATTTTTTTTGTTTAAGTCATTTATGTATAACTAAATACTCTAATAAATACTTTTAATAATTTTCATACTTTTGTTTTGATTTTCAACAGGACTAGAGCCCAACAATGCCACTGGAGAATTGACTGTGGATCAATATCATCGATACAAGGTGTTCTTTTTTTTTTTTTACCACTTATTTTTTTTTACATTTCCGAGAGATTATGTTATATTCTAATGTTGTGTAACACATGTATATATGCAGGAAGATATAGACCTCATGGTGAAGCTCAATTTCGAAGCTTACCGCTTTTCAATTTCATGGACTCGCATATTCCCAAGTATTTATTTTTTCTAGCTCAAAAAAACTACAAGGAAATAAAATAGAGTTTAAAAAAATCACAAAGAGTTGAACTAAAATTTAAAAATAAATTTTTTATATTTACTCATAATTATTCTTTTTTGTTTTAATGTATGCGTGTAGATGGCACAGGGAAAATAAATTGGAGGGGAGTTCAATACTACAATAGGCTGATTGATTACATGGTCAAAAGAGGTAATTGCCAAAGAATAATCATTAATCCATTAACACTTTTTGATTGAAGAATGAATGTAGACATACTACATTCATTCGTTTTTCAATCTATAGAAAATATTTATAGACAATTAATATGGAATGGAGAGAATACTAAATAAGCAATATTGCAATACTATTATCATTATTATTGCGATATTATTATTAGAGTTCCATAAAAATTTTAATCACAACATCATTGAATTGTTGCTTATTTTGAATGAGTTTTTAGGAATTACTCCATATGCAAATCTTAACCATTATGATCTTCCTCAAGCACTTCAAGATAGATATGGAGGCTGGTTGGACCGCAAAGTCGTGTAAGTATTCATATCAATTTGTTTATTTAATTGCATAACTCATTTTAAATTTTGACCTCAAATTAAATAAAATTTATATTAGATATCGATACAAAAATAATTTTATTGTATTGTTATATCAAAAATATATATTTTATTTAATTATAAGTCAAATGTTGAAAATAATTACTTAAAAAATTCAAAACTGGATAAATACTCTATGACGGAGATAGTATTTTTTAAAATGCCACTCACTCTCAGCCCGATCCCTACTCGAATGCCAATTTGGAGAAAATTAATTGTCCCAAATTAGCAATTCGGGTGTGGGCTTGGAGCAAGGGTGGGGTGGGCTACACTCAAAGCACATGGAAGATATGTTTAGAACTAGTTACAGATATAAACAATCAATTTTATAATGCGAATACTTTATGACAGAAACCACACACGGATTGATATGACAGGAACTATTGTGACAGTACAATTTTTCTTTTATAAATACTTCATATAGGGAGTATAAATTTTGTAGTTAAATAGGCAAGGTTCCGTTAACACTGTCATCTAATGTCAACAGATGACACTTGCCTATTTCAAACAGTTCTAATACTCTAAATGAAAAATTGATGGTTCATCCCCATTTGACCCATTCCCTAAATTTTCACCGTACCCCATCCTGTCGGACTCCCACGCCCCACTCTAGACATTCCTTTTACCTGATCTAAATATGTGGTTATTATGCATTGCATAATAGTCACACATTTTGAAGGGGTAAAAGAGGAGTCCAGGATGGTTGTGGAAATACTAGAGATGTTCAAAGTATGTTAGTTAAATTACATCATAATTTGTGCATGAATTGAATTAAAAAATTAATCTTATCATATTCAAATTTTGCAATTTGCAGAAAGGACTTCGCCGACTACGCGGAGTTCTGCTTCAAGACATACGGAGACCGGGTAAAAAACTGGTTCTCCTTCAACGAGCCGCGGGTCGTCGCCGCTCTAGGCTACGATAACGGCTTCTTCGCACCGGGAAGGTGCTCCAAACCCTTCGGGAACTGCTCGGAGGGGAACTCCGCCACCGAGCCCTACATCGTCACGCACAACCTCATTCTCTCTCACGCCGCCGCCGCTCAGCGCTACCGCACCAAGTACCAGGTCTTCTCTTCTTCCACTCACAGATTGAAAACAAAGCTCCGATTTCCCTCCGATTAGCGTTAATTTCAACTGCTATGTGCAATTTTTATTTATAAAATTCTTAATCTGTGTGTGGGAATTTGTGTTTCAGGCAAGCCAAGGTGGGAGATTTGGGATTTTGTTGGATTTTGTGTGGTATGAACCTTTGACAAGATCCAAAGCTGATAATTATGCCGCTCAAAGAGCCAGAGACTTTCATTTGGGATGGTATTTTGGATCTTCAACTAAAAGTTATTGTTTCATAACATTTTTAAAAGAAAAGTTATTGTTTCATAACATTTTTAAAAGATTAAGGTTGAATTATACGGAGAAACGCGCAAAAAACTACGTTAATTTTTTTGTAATATACATATTACATACTTATATGATGATATTAATTAATAACCCACACAGGTTCTTACATCCTTTGGTATATGGAGAGTACCCAAAAACAATGCAGAACATTGTTGGGGATAGGCTTCCAAAGTTCAAACCGGAAGAGGTTAAGATTGTCAAAGGATCCATTGATTACATTGGGATAAATCAGTACACCACTTACTACATGTACGACCCCCGATCGAACGGGTCTCGTGTTCCTGGCTACCAGAACGATTGGAACGTTGGATTTGCTTGTAAGATTGTTATTACCTTTAAGCCTCTGTATGGAATCCTATGATGTTTTGTTCGATACTTTGATCCCAAAGACCCAAATTGGTTCTTATCTCACCCAAACCGACACCCCACCTCAACCCCACACCACCCTCCCTTTCTTTGGGTGGCAATTCATAGTAACAAACTTGACAATAGATTATCACGCAAAGGAACGAGGGCTATAAGGGGCTGAATTGGGGTGGGGGTTTGTGAGTGGTTAGAAGTTATATAAAACACTTTGGAATCAAATAGATTATCATATGACCGTTACCGGCGTAGGGGGTCAAAAGAACCTTAGGGATATTATAAACATATATCCATGGCGATTTGATTATTGTGCCTGCATTTCTACAGATGAGAAGAATGGAGTGCCAATCGGTCCAAGGGTATGTCTAAAATGGCTTCTAGTACTATTTATATAAGTCAAATACTCGGTTGGATAAATGATACACATTGCATGAATTTAGTAGCACAACTATATAGAAAATGACACTACGATTTTCAAGCTTGTATTTTTTTATAAAATTTTTGGAGTAAATTTGATGTTGTTAGGCTCATTCTGATTGGCTCTACATGGTACCATGGGGATTATACAAAGCTATCACCTATGTAAAAGAGCGATATGGAAATCCGAGTATGTTCTTGTCTGAAAACGGTAAGGTTTTGGTTATAATTGTCTAATACGAGTACAATTGTCCCGTGTAGGATGATTTGAGACAAAAATTATAAAATCGTGACAAAAATAGATCTCTTTTTTACATACAGGGATGGATTATGCTGGAAATTTGACACTTTCTGAATCTCTAAATGACACAATAAGGATTGATTACTACAAGAGCTATTTGGCACAACTGAAAAGGGTAGTAGATGATGGAGCCAACTTGTTTGGCTACTTTGCTTGGTCATTGCTAGATAACTTTGAGTGGAGATTGGGCTACACATCAAGATTTGGCATTGTCTATGTTGATTTCACTTCACTCAAGAGATACCCAAAGAAGTCAGCCTATTGGTTCCAGCACATCCTTAAAAGAAACAAGAATTAAGTCACAACAAATAATAAATTAATAATGCTAAAAGCCTTGTGTGTGTACTAATACTATTACAAAAAAAGCATCATTACATGTTCCATAAATGTGTGTTTTTATATGATTTGGCAATGTGGAAGTAGTTTGTACTAAGGTAAAACCTAATCTAGTTGGGGTTTGATAAAAGTTACCTTATGTCTTACTCCCTCCGTTTCTTAAAACTTTTCCTCTTTCATTTTTTTTGTTTTTCTTAAAACACTTCCCTTTTCTATTAAAAAATCACTTTTACCCCTATTTTTTCATACCCTACCTATCACATCATACTTTTTCACTAACAACTAAACTATCACATCTTACTTTTACCCATCACATCAAGGGCAAAATTGGAAAGTCAATTACAATTTAACACTTCCTTATTTCCCTCCAAAGTCAAAAGAGGAACTCTTTTGAGAAACGGAAGGAGTATAATTTTTGCACATGAAGAAAATAAGTAATGAGTTTGGGTTCTAAATATTCTTGTATAGTTTAGTTACAGAGAGAATGGAACAGTAATATAATTTAGAACTAGTATGTACGGAGTATAACCCAATCCAATACACACTTTGAAGATTCCATGGTTTGTTTGTGAAACAAGTTTGCCACTCCAATATTGTGTGTTATAAAGGAAAAAATTATGGTAATAACAAATACCAATCAAATATCATAGCATATATACTTTTTTTTTAAATAAATGTTCTTTTGAGGTACTCGTTGTAAGTATCATTTTTGTTGGTTTATTTGATGGCAAATACTCTCTCGGTCTCAATGTATTGATTTAGTTTGACATTTTCGAATCAAAGAGACAAATTTTAATCATAAAAAATTCTCAATTCGCATTAAATATTATTACAAGAGCAAGCTTTATTTGACCCGAGCAAAAAACGACTCAAAAAGGACACGGACATTTTGAGTCACTTACGGTGTCTCATTGGTAAAATTGATAGTTTTTATCTGTAATTTTACCCCAGCCCCCTGCACCCCACCAACCAAACCAAATGGGGAATCTAGGGAGTTGTGATAGGGTGCATGGAGGTTTTGCCCCCGCACATCTACGTTGCATTCTATTGTTGATCCTCATTTCAACGTAAATTTGGCACCGCCCCCACTCGCTCAATTCAATTGACACTGACTTCCAGTTTTTTCTTATACATCCAACTCATTTGAGCATTCTACGACGTTCCGTTCAACACAAGAGTTGGTTTTACCAGGCCGGTAAAACTCCCCATCCTAGTCTGCTCCAACCCACCTCCCACACCTTCAATTGCACCTTCAAATTTAGGTAATACTCCATTCATCCAATTCAAATAGTCTGTTGTTGTTTATAAAATTTTTCTGAAATTATTTTAACCTCATTTCATTTGAAAGTTAGTGTAGAATTAAAAATAAAATATTTTCTCCCTCCGTCCCTAAATATATCTCACATTTCTATTACTGATATTAAGTTTTTTCAATTCATTTTATTTACATATTGATATAGAAATAAAAAATAAAATTTACACATAAAAAAATTACATGAAAAGTTCTTCGAAATAAGAGGTGTCAAAAATATTTTATTTTATCAAATAACCAATGAAAACGTAGAAATAAACAAAATTTTGCCACGACTGCTGAAAAGCAAATGTGAGATATATTTAGGGACGGAGGGAGTATTAAAAAAACAAGATCAAAAGTTCTACAAAACTGGAGGTGTCATGACTATATTATTTTATGAAATGAGTAACGACAATAGTTAAAAAAGGTGATTAAAATTTGACAATATAAATAATAAACAAGTAACCTAAGTTAGGACGTCTAGTATTTTGTTCGTTAAACAAGCAAAACTTAAGTTAAGACGGAAATTATTTTTACAGTAATCAACGCATTTGTTAACGGGGACGGCCTATTTATCGGAAATCCGTTTCTAGATGCAAATTCACGGACCGACCCGGCCCATGCCCGCTTAAAACCCTAATCGTCCCAAGCTAGGTTTTGAAGTCGCGATCTGGAACCAGTATATAAACGAAACTATTCTTCTTCCATTTCTTCCATTTTCCCAACTCTAAACTTTCCGATCGGAAGAGCGGCGGCCGAAAATGTCTCACGAAGGTCTCAGCCTCCGCGGAACCATGAAGGCCCACACCGATTGGGTCACGGCGATCGCTACTCCGGTGGATCACACCGACATCATCGTCACCGCTTCCCGTGACAAATCGCTGATCTACTGGCGCCTGGCTAAAGACGGCTCGCAAATCTACGTCCCCCATCGCCGCCTCACCGGGCATTCTCACTTCGTCCAGGACGTTGTTCTCTCGTCCGACGGCCAGTTCGCTCTCTCCGGTTCGTGGGACGGCGAGCTCCGTCTCTGGGACCTCCAGACGGGAGCCACTGCGCGTCGGTTCGTCGGCCACACAAAGGACGTCCTTTCCGTGGCGTTTTCCGTCGATAATCGTCAGATTGTTTCCGCGTCCAGGGACAAGACAATTAAGCTGTGGAACACTCTCGGCGAGTGCAAGTACACTATTCAGGACGCCGACGGTCACAGCGAGTGGGTTTCTTGCGTTCGATTCAGCCCTAACAATGTCCATCCCACGATCGTCTCTGGATCTTGGGATAAAACTGTGAAGGTGTGGAATTTGACCAACTGCAAGCTTCGTGCCACGCTTGCTGGCCACACAGGGTATGTGAACACCGTTGCTGTTTCTCCCGATGGCTCTCTGTGTGCCAGCGGAGGGAAAGATGGAGTTATTCTCCTCTGGGATTTGGCCGAAGGAAAGAAGCTTTACAGCCTTGAAGCAGGATCGATCATTCACGCTCTTTGCTTCAGCCCTAACAGGTACTGGCTCTGTGCTGCTACTGAAGCCAGCATTAAGATTTGGGATTTGGAGAGCAAGAGCATTGTTGTGGATCTCAGAGTAGATCTCAAGATTGAGAGCGATCTCCCTAAGACTGAAGGAACTACACCTTCCAAGACCAAGGTCCATTTACTTAATCTCTCTTCCCCTAATTTTAGTTTCCTTGTTTTTAAACTGTGTGTTTATATAGTTGTGGAATTTGATTATGGTATAATAATGTAATTTAGAATCTTTATCTGTTTATGTTTGATGTTCTTTTTAATTGAAACTAGGTAAGCCCAGCTTCTTTTTTAATCATCCAAATGCATTTAAAAATGAATGAAAAGCCTTTTGAACATTGTTATGTACCATTCAATAGTCACATGTTCATTCAAAATACCGCATTTTGTAACATCAATGCCAAATTTACCATTAGTCATATTAGTCTTTCAGGGCATATTGTGATTTTGATTTGTTTACAATTTTGTCTAATCAATTTTGCAAGTAGTTTATTGCACATTTTTTGCATTGCCATTATGTATGATGCAGAATTTAGTTCTAAACACACACACACACACACACACACACACATATATATATATATATATCATCTGTAACCTATTTGTTTTGGACATTGGAATTGGAGTTTCATCAATTAGTTGAAAGTAGCAGTCTTGCAGGGAAAGTTTTGGTTAATCTTTTTGTTCTTTGCATATCAATAGGGATTTTTATTTAAGGACATCTTACGAACTGAAATTCATTCATTGTCAATGTTTTGATTTTTGCTCATTTTTGTATCGTGTGTACTTCAAGTGTGTGAGTGCACTTCCTCTTGTCATATTTTCTTAGTCTAGTGCAATATAGTTCATTGCTTAACAAACACTCCGTATTATGTATCATGTAAAACTATGTTGAGTGTAACAATAGCAGTGGTTAGTTTGTTCTGAAAATGGTAGCCCCTTGTTATCTGTTTTGTAGTATTGTCAACTAATTACATTATGGATTTAATAGTTAAGCTTTGACTAGTGTGTCAAAGTATTAAGAAATGTGATAAGTTTTTATTAATAACTCTAAAATTATCTTTCCAACAGTTTAGACAGTTTACCTTCTCTAGCTATAGTTCACCCTCAACTCACAGCAATTGTTTGATGAAACTCAAATTAAGTTTGAAAGAAGTTACTGAAAATTAGGGCTGATCATTGTTTATTGTGAGCTGATCTTCTTTGGTTGTCCAATGTATACAAATGTGTCTAAATTTCTAATGCGTGCCTTTCTGTGCTCATTAAGCTCTTTCGGGGTTCGATTTCATTTTTGGCAGGTGATATTCTGCACGAGCTTGAGTTGGAGTGCCGACGGATCGACTCTTTTCAGCGGATATACAGATGGTGTCATCAGAGTTTGGGTGGTAGGACCCGTCACTCGATACTAAACATGACAATCAAAATGCTGCAAATGGAAACTGCAGACCGGTGATTTGATATCGTTTAGAATTCTCTCGTTTTCTTGTTAAGAACACAATGCCTTTTCTTTGTGTTTTTAGACAAATATCTGCTCTCTTTTTGCTTTCTCGGATGATACTGTGTTTTTTTTTCTGTTTGCAAGACCAATGGTTTATTCTTCTGCTTTCATCTCCAGATTTTCTCTTTTGTTGTGGAGTTTTTCTTCTACTCTTGGGAAATTAATTATTTTTTGAAGGTGAATTAAAATGCACTTTTTAAACACATTTTTAAATTGCTTCGTTCCTTGATAGTGCTAAAAACACATTTTTTAATAGTTTTATTTACTTCAATACATAAAGTAATGTTTCCTAGTTGTAGCCACAGAATCTCAAAACATCTTAGTACCCTCCAACACAATGCCTTCTCTTTGTGTTTTTAGACAAATATCTTTAATAGGTAACGATTGCGGTTCTATGTTTCCAATGTAGGATTATCAAAACATCTACGGGCATGTGCTTTCATGATTTTTAAAGTTTGACTTTTAAAATGTGAATTTTTTCATACAGGATTGACATGTGGATATTTTATTGTTTTCGAAAGCCCAATTCATCCATGACTTTCTTGTATGCTAAGATCCATGCAATGAGCGTGAATCTTAAATCACGGAAGAATTTACTTACGTGTGGATATATGTTGAATTGTTTCATTGGAACTTAGAGCATTGGCAGTGGCGAGGCAAATGCATGCCATGCCACATCACCCATTTACCTATTTTGCCATGCGTGGCTTGTGTATTCCTTCATCCAAGGCTTGGATGAGCCATTCTTCTCTTCTTGTTTTCTTATTTTTTTTATTTTTTTATTTGTAGGAAAAAGGTTTTTTTGAAAAAATGAAGTGCATATATTTTTAAGAAAAAAAGATAAGTAAAAAAAATTTATAATTAAAAAATGTCACAAAAGTGTAAAAATGACAAAAAATAATTTCTTGCCACTGCATGACATGCTACTCCATCTACTCGTCACTGACTGGACTCTTTTTGATTGGTTGATGGTAACGTGCAACGAGAATATACTTTTGATTTGCCATTGTCATTCTAATGCGTTCTCCCACTGGCCAAGTCATTTTTGGAGGAGAAACTATGCGCTTTTGGGATCTGCGTGCTCCGTGGCTAGAGCCTCTAAGGGGACCAAATGGGTTAGATCTGAATCAGTTAAAAAAAGATATACAACCTTGGCAGGAACGGCGTTCCGCAGAATATATGACTCATGCCCCTTTAGGTTCTTTAAATTCTGTCGGAGGCGTGGCTACTAAAATAAATGCAGTCAATTATGTCTCTCCAAGAAGTTGGTTGGCAACCTCACATTTTTGTCTAGGATTTTTCTTTTTTGTAGGTCATTTGTGGCACGCGGGCCGGGCTCGAGCGGCGGCAGCTGGGTTTGAGAAAAGAATTGATCGGGATTTCGAACCGGTTCTTTCTATGACCCCTCTCAATTGAGAACAGATACGAAATCAAATTATTCAAGTTGGTTTATCTATAAAATTCAATATTTAATTGCGTTTTTTATGGCTTGGCTACGTCGGATAGCCAAGCCATGTCTATTCAATGACCAACAATATACTTGGAATGTTCTACGTCACCGTGTGACATTCTATTTTTTGATTTGCCATTGTCAATGCTTTGATGGTTATAATTTATAAATATAAGTTTAGATTCATTGGAAAAATGTGTTTGGTAAGATTTGTTGCTAGAGAGAAATTATGTGAACTATGTCCTTTTTTTAATCGAAATGATAGATGAAACTATTCACGAATTAACAAAATGGAAGTGCATGTTTTGTTAGAGCATGTGCAGTGGCAAGGAAGAGAGATGCCTTGCACTGCCACATCAGCTTTTTTTCCACTCTTATCATGACATGGCAAGACCAAAATGCTAGAGCTATCAACGGATAACCGAAAATCCGATTACCGTCTGCATCCGTATTCGTTTAAAGAGGAAATATCCGCATCCGTTTTAAATGGATATTATCCGTATCCGATTAAGGATATTCGATTACTAAACGGATACGGATTTGGTATTTGTATATCTGATCCTTTTAAAATCCGATCCGAATATACATCCGCTCAAATAACCATTTATTCGAATATTCGATCCGTTATATATAGTTTTTCCTAATTTTTTTATGTTTATATTTTATTTCTCTATTGATATTTCAAAGAAACGACATTTTCAAATAAATGTGTAGACAAATAAAAATATGTGGAGACATTAAAATATGTGTATATGTGTGTTGTGTATATCTTTTTATCATATGAAGTTATAGTATAATATCATAAATCATGAAAGCAAAGAAAATAATTATCCCATAACAAATTATAGTTGATTTAATAATAGTGTGACTTTAAAAATTAAAGTATTGTTTAATTTGATTTTAAAAATTGGAAACGGATATGGATATATCTGATATCCGACCGATATCCGACGGATGCGGATACAGTTTTGATTTTTAGTATCCGTCAAGATCCGTATCCGAATTCAATATTCGACAAAAATAAACGGATACGAATTTGGTAATAGCACATCCGATCCGATTAATATCCGTTTACACCCTTGAAAATGTCTTGCTTGGTGAGGCATGATGTGGCACTCCATCCTTCATTTTTCTTTTTTTTTTAAATAAATTTTTTTAAAATCTTTTATGAAAAAAAATGTACAAGAAAGTAGAATAATTTTTTAATAAAATAAATAATAAAAATATTATTTTTATGTTTAAAAAACATAAAAAAATGTAAAAAAAATGATAAAAAATAATGACTTGCCATTGTAGAACTTGCCACTTCATGCACTTGCCACACGCTGACTGGACTATTTTTGATTGGTTAAAATGTTCCATGTCACCGTGTGGCATTCCATTTTCGTCTTGCCATTGTTCATGCTTTTAAGGAAGAATTGCGGAGTGTTGGGGGGAACTATAAAAATTAGTCCTTGTGTCTCTATTTAAATTGTATGTTTACTTTTCAAAGAAAGACAAACGTTATATTTTTTTATCCATTTTCGTTAGTCATTTAATAAAATATATAATTATGTCATCATTATTTTTTTAGATTTTTAATGTAATTTTTAAATATGTAATTTTAATTTTTTAATTTTACAACATTTTTTATATAAAATAATATGAAAATAATTTTAATTAAATATCGTAAACTCAAACCAACGATTTAAATTGAGATAGAGAAAGTATAATATTTTCAAATATTCACATATAGTCTTCACAAAATGTATAAATCTACCCAATATGTAAAGTAATATTTTGAAACAATGGCCTTCAATAATTAAAAAAAATTTAAATACACAAATAGTAAGTTGTTTATTTTGTGAGTGTTTTATTTGTGACTCTAACATTATTCTTTTGACATTTTGTAAAGTGTAAACATGTTTATCGATATTTTCACATATCAATCTTCCATAGAAGGTGGGGTTTTGATATTTTTTATATTTGAAAGATGTCATATACTTTTTCAGTTTTACCTTAAATTATCTGTTTTGGTTCACGATGTTTGATTGATTTTTTTTTCAAATTAATTTATATAAAAATAGTGTAGAAAAAAATATAAAAATTACACGTTTAAAAATCATATCATAAGAACTACAAAATTAGTAGTGACATGATTATATTATTTTATTAAATAATTAATGAAAATTAAGAAAGTAATGAAATTTGGCTCTGTGAATAGTTAACATGTAATTTAATTTGGGACAGAAAGAGTAAAACTTTGACAAGAAATCTATCTGAATAGGAGTAAAAAAACACGGAGTATAAAAATATCTAAATAATAGTTCTTAGTCTTTCAAGACCAAAATATACATCAATGTATTGCATATTAATATATTGAAATACAATTTTAAAAGTTTTAAATACAATGAATCTAATAAAGTCATTTTTATGTTAAAATTCATTACAATTTTTAATTTTATTGAACCGTAAAGTTTTTCTTGTTTGACTCGAAAAAGTCAAACTAGATAAATATACTGCGACAGATGAAGTAATATATCAAATAATTATTTTTGAATAATTGAAAATGAAGAATTGAAAATTCGAGTTCGAATATAGGGAGTAATAGTATGGGAATACTCTCCATTAAAAAAATATTCCGTTCATCTTTAATTTGATTACAAAATGGGAGTTACGAGGTGAAATATCTTACTTTTTGAAATTATTTTATTTACGAATTGGTATATGAATAAGAAATTAAAGTTACATATCAAAAAACTACGTCAAAAATTCTACAAAAAGAGATATTACAAGAATATTTTATTTATCAAATACTCAATGATAACACATAAATAAATAAAAATTATTGAGACGAAGAGAAAAAAAGATTGTTATTTAGTAGTCGTATTTTAGAAGAGAGTATGAGAATACTCCATGGAATATCATTTGAAATATTTGCACTAAATAGCACTAAAACTTAAATCATTTCCCTAAATAGCACTTAAATTGTTTTATTCTTTAAATAGCACTTAATAATGTATATAATGTCCAGTGATGACAAATATTTACTTGAATAATGACTAATGCAAAATGACTAAAAGTAATACATTGGGAAGAAAAACACATGTGGTGCTATTTGGAGAAAGTCATTATGTTTTAGTGTTATTTAAGTAAATTTCTCATATTATTTCTTACGAGTGCAAAAGACAAGATTGGGACTGAATCAATTGATTATTTGAATGCCTAGTTGACCAGCCTCAGCTGGATCACTATTTTCATTTAGCCACCAGCTTTGACCAAAAGATTAAAAAAAAGTCTCATAATTCCACCCTATAAATACTCTATCCAATCAATTGAAAATTCATCAAATCCATTATCCCACCCAAATTTCATTGTCTCGACTTTCCAAAAATGGCTTCTTCTTTAGGCTTGTTTTTCATCTTCTTCATTGCCATTCTTGTATCAGCCTCCCATGCTCAAGATGGCTTCAATCTTCCCATTCGAAAAGACCCGAAAATGATGCAGTACTACACCACCGTTCGAGTGGGTAGCACCCGCGCGGTGGTGAACGCTGTCATCGACCTCGGGGGAGAGTACCTGTGGTTCAACTGCGACAACTACACGTCATCCACATTCGCTCCGGTTCCTTGTGGCTCGCAGCAATGCGGGACCGTTAAGGGCGTCGGGTGCGTCGGGTGCAACAATTCGCCCCCGCGCCCCGGGTGCACGAACGACACCTGCGGCGCCTCGGTCTACAACCCGTTCCAAGACGTTCTTGTCTCTCAAGGTTACGAGCTCGACACGCTTTTCGCGGACAACGGCGACCAACTTGCCCGGTTCCCTTACGCGTGCATGAACACGCGTTTCTCCGAGGGCCTGGCGAGGGGTGCCAGCGGAGTGCTGGGCCTCGCCAGGACCAACATTTCTCTGCACAAAATAGTCGCTGACACGTTCGGTCTCCCAGACAAGTTCTCCGTGTGTCTCCCCTCCTCGGGACGACTGGGAAGACTAAACATCGGTGGGGAGTTCTCAAGCGTGGCAAAATCGCTCGTCTCCACGCCTCTCGTCGTAAACCCGATGAGCACGGCCGCGAGCTTCACGGTCGGCGACCCGTCTGACGAGTACTTCATCAATGTCGAGTCGATCAAAGTCAACGGTCAACCTCTCTCGTCGGTCAAAAGCTTGTACTTCTCGATCGACAAAAACGGGGTCGGGGGCACGAAAATCAGCACGCGCAACAACTTCACCGCCCTCCACTCCTCGATATACAAACCCCTGACGCGGGCATTCGTGAAGGCGGCCTCCGACGCAGGGATGAGAACCGCCGACAACGTGAAGCACGCTCTGTTCAGAGCGTGCTTCGACTCGGCCACCGTGGGGCCCTCGGTGCCCGTGATCGAGCTAGTCTTGCCCGGGAACGGGGTCTCGTGGAAGATCCACGGGGCAAACTCGATGTACGCGGTGAGCAAGAGTGTGATGTGCCTGGCATTTGTGGATGGGGGATCAAAGCCAAGAACTTCAGTTGTGATTGGGGCATATCAACTTGAGGATAATTTGGTTGAGTTTGATCTTGTCTCTTCTCAGCTTCGTTTTAGCTCTTCTCTTCTTTTGCAGAACAAGAGCTGTTCCCGCCTTTGAACGACAGGCTCACATGATACATGCCGGCTTTGGAAAATAGCTTTTCGGATAGATTTTTGCATCTTTGACTGACTTTGGCTTTTTTGATTTAGTGAATAGCCAAAATCATTATTTGGCTAATGACTTTCACTTAGCATTTTGATCCAAAAAGCCAAAAAAACATCCGTCAAGAGCCAACATCCAAACAATGCCATAATATAATATAATAATAATGTTTCATTTTTGTATCCTTGTTTTATTTGTGAATCTGATCTTCAATAATTAAGAAAGTGAGTCTTTCAAATAAAATACACTATGTTGTTTGATTTTTATTCATATAGATACCAGCATCATTTTGGGCAATTTCATGTTGATAATAAGTTTTACTCTCTCCGTTCCAATTTAAATCATCTATTTCGAATCACGATGTTTGATTGAAGTATTTTCGAATCGTTTTATATGTAAAAGATTGTCGAATAAAAAAATAAAAATTACTCCCTCCGTCCCATGAAACATTTCCCGTTTCAAAAATGGCATGCCTTTAAAATGAGTAATTTTGGTATTATTTTCTTATTTTGTCTTTACTTTATAAAAGAGTAGGATGAGATGTGTAGAATAGATTAATCATAATTAGAAAATAGCACCAAAATTATTCATTTTAAAGGCACGCCATTTTTTGAAACGGGAAATGTTTCATGGGACGGAGGGAGTACATGTTTAAAAACCACATCAAAAGATTTAAAAATTTAGGGGTAACATGACTATATTATTTAATCTAACGACAAACGGAAAATAATGAAATAAAATATATGACATTGTTTGTAAATAAACAAACAATTTAATTTGTGATGGAAGAAGTATGATACTCCCTGCGTCCCAAAAAGATTTACACGTTTCAAAAAAATTGCGTACCACAATCCCTTACCCATTTCTATTAAAAAACCATTTTTACCCCTTACTTTTTCAAACCCTACCTATCACATCATACCTTTTTTCTAATAATCTTCACATCAAATCTTACTTTTACCCATCACATCAAGGATATTTTTGGAAAGTCAACACAAAAGTATTCCTCCCTTAATTTTAACTTTAGTCAAAATGGGTAACACTTTATGAGACAGAGGGAGTATAAAACTTAGAATTATTTGAACATTTATTTGATCTAAAAAATGGATTTAAAAAAATCCTTTTTCGAGATGGGATCTGGGCAGGGCATAACAGTAAATAATTGTCCACTTTATGGGTAGACCTGGCATGGCCCAAATCACATGGGCTAAAAAATTATACCCATATCCGCTCATCTAGGCGTGTCAGGCCGCTCATAGGGGTTTCGGGCCGCTCATAGGGGTTTCGGGCCCAAGAATGACATCAAGAAAAAATACATAAAATAAATAAAAATTACATTGATAATAATTTTACATCGAAAAAAAATAATATAAAAAAATTATCCTCCACGAAAAAAATACAAAAAAAAACATTGTAATAGTAGTTTCTTCAATTGGAATAAAGTGGCCATCCAGGCGTGACTCTTTTTATCGTGGACTAAAGTGACTCTTTTTATTAAATTGGAATACATTTTTTTGTTGCACTAAATTGGAATACTTAAATACCCCATCGCTGCTAGGGATGTAGCTCAGCTAATAAAACAAATGGTGTAAAGGACTAAGTTACGAGTTCGATTTCTGACAGCAACGATATTTTTTGTTAGCTAGTCTGTAATTAAATCTTAGGTTACCTCTTTTTAGAAGACTGTCCGACTACTTTGAGAGGAGAAATATTATCGGTCAAATATTAGGCTCAAAAAATGAGCCGAACAATTAAAAAAGGTAGGGGTTTTCATCGTTCATTATGGGAGTTACATTGCGAAGTGTGTTGTTGCATTAGACTATGTGGTATAGTGGGTGATGGGGGGGGGGGGACCGCTCCGATGTGGCATTGCCGAGTACATTGCTCTCAACCAATGTATGTTCTGGACAGACATTAATCACGATATTTAATACATGAAAAAAATACATTGGAAATATAAAAAATCTAGCCTTGATCACGACCACGTTTGGCCGCATATTCTTTTCTTATTTTGTCGTTCATCATCTCGATGAAGGCAAAATTACGTTCGTCCGTACCATCATACTTTGTGCCTAGGAACGCCATGTCGGCCACCATTTAACGATTTGTTTTTATTTCGTCTGAACTCTTTTTCAACTCTTCCTGGTCATTTGACTTTCTCTTTGCCTCTCTCCTTCGCCTTTGACTGATCTCGTCCCATTGACCTGGACACATCTTGCACATAGACCTCATCGTTGATGATATTCAATTCACCCCACCTAGTTTTTTCTTGTATGTATGGTAGGTGAAGTATCCAACAAATTTCTGACTTCTTTCTTCAAGTCGCGCCATTTACTCGTTAACATGTACGGGTAATTCTCTCTGCCCAATTCCAGTGAAACTGTTTGTGGATGTGATCCCAAAAAGTAACTTTTTTTTGTTGCTGGCTAAAATTTTTTTAAAAAAAATTGTGTTAGTCGCAAAAAATTGTGTTTCCGACATGTAATGAGGTTTTCTCTGGGAAGAAGTTTGGGAATCGAGTTCAAAACTCAAATCCGTCGAAATCCAAACGATAACAATTACTCCGTATCAAACATATTTCCGGCATTCAGATCGTTTAGATTGAAGGGCAGACAGTTACTTGGGTTGTAAATAATATAATACGAAAGATTGGGGTTGTACGTTTGGATTCATAGTGTAAGCAAAAAGATAAAAATTATAAAAAAACATATAATTAAATTTGAGATTATAAAGAAGAGATTGTGTTTAAAATTGGTTGAAATTGTGTTGTTTAAATAGAAGAAAGTGTGTTTTAGTAAATTTGAAAATTGAAGAAAAATTATTTTTATGGTCAACATATCATTGCATCCAGGATTGCAATAAGAATTGAAAAACGAATTGAAATCTCCCTATAATTCAAGTCCATGCATGTTGTAGAAATTGATAAGAGAGAAAATAATTTGTATATTAAATTGGTTTGTGATTACAAATGTCTAACCCCCTTTATATGGAAAGAGAGTAAAGCATATAAGTAAACTTCTATTCCTACCATATTTGTATTCCTACTAAAACAAGAAATAAACAAACTAGGAAATATACTAAACCGAATCCCAAAGGGATTCAATTTCCTTCTTCGATCCGGCTTCCTTCTTCTATCTCCAACACCCCCCTCAAGCTGGAGCATGGGAGTTCAACATGCCCAGCTTGGACATCAAAAGATTGAACAAAGCAACAAAGCTTGAGGAAGCCGCTGCCATCGTTGTCCAAGTGTCATCTCGACACTTCAGTTTTTTTCAACGGAGACGCCAAGCTTTTCGAATCCGCCGAATAATCAGTCATGTAAAGGAACGCCATTCTTTTCGAACCTTCACCATATTCGAACAAACAGGGGGAACACCATTCTTTTCGAACACCCTGAACGCCGACTTTTTTTATTGCATGCAAAGGAAAGAGTTGTCTGTCTCTGTAGAACAACCCTTCTCGGACAACTTCAAGATTGATGGTTGG